AAAAATACTTTATCCTTTCTGTACAAATTGCCCAATGGTAAACATTTTTTAATACCAACGTTTTATTTTACTATCCAAAGGCAAAAAGTTTAAATTTTCCCTTGTTGTTGTATTCATTTTTCCATTGTTTTTTCTTGTTTTTTTGCTAAAAATTAAAAAAAAAATTTTTTCCATCGTTAAACATTTTAATCATTGCTCACAGTTACAAACTTTTTTCCCTCACACCTTTACTCCTTCAACCGCTTTACTTTACAGCTGAAATCCCTCCATAAATGCAAACAATAAGGAATGAAAATTTAGAATGAATACGAAAAATGAAAAGGCAAAAAAAATTAAGGGAATGAAAGAAATTAAAAAGTGCAACACTGTGCAATTTAAATCCCCACTGCCCACTGCACTGTTTCCCCTGCGTACTGTTCTGTTGTGGGAGTGTGGGAGTGTGGGAGTGTGAGATAAAGTAATCATGTTAAGGCAGCAAAGCCTTTCAAACCCCTGCTCAGCTAATAGTGCAAGATAGCGGGATACCATAGAAGTTTTTTCCATTTTTCCTGGTTTTTTGTTTCTTCTTCTTTAAATGTTTTTTTTTCCGAGCTTATTATAAATTGCTTTTCTCTTTTGCGTAAAAGGAAAAGGTAAAAAAATAAACAGGATAAGGTATGAAATGTAACTTTAAAAAGTGGCAATAGATATTTTTTCTTGTTCTTTAATCCTACTGATTTGAAACCACAAAAGATTTAAAACCTCTTAGAATTACCGCCATCACTTCCCATTGTTGGAGACTTACATATCGGGATTCGAAAAAATGCTTGCGTTTTACTTTTTAAATCAAATGCAAACTATAATATTAATTTCATATTGAGTTTTTTACACTACTCATCTTCACAAATATTGTTTAATCTTCTTCAAGATTATAAACTTTCCTTAAGAAACATATATTCATCCATTTGGTCTTTTCGCTTTAGCATAATTTTTATATATTCCGATACTAAAAAATACTTCAAAGCAGTGCAGCATCTCCTTATGTACGTCCCTGTTTAAAATCTTATTATTATTATTAATATGTATGTATCGATTTGTACTTACAGTATGAATATATAACCTGCTATCTAGAAAAAATTTCATAAGTTCCTTTTTAATCTTGGCTCTGTTTTGATCACCCTTTAACATTTTGATAATGATAATCTTTTTTGTTAAAATTTTAAATAAAGTTTTGTCGATCAAGCAGAACTTTCACAGTCTCCTATTTAAATAAATTATAATTGGAAGTTTGCTAAAGATTAAAGCTATTAATTCGTAATCCTTAAAAAGTCATTTACAGCAGATTAAGATGTTAGAAACATTGCCGGATATTTCATTCCACATTTCGGAAAATTTGCAGATATCAGCATGTTCAAGTCGTCTCCGCTAAAAATAGTGTTTGACTAATAACACTTCCTAAACCAGTTATCAATTTGAGTTCACATCGGCTTATATAAAAATAAATTTTTATCATTTTTCTTATAGTCTTTGGCCCATTTCATCGCAAAAAGTGTTTATTCGAAATTCTAGGCGCTGATGCACGTAGTGCTCCATCAGCATTATTGCCTTTATACCATAAATCCGAATGATTGTTACTTATCAGCTTAAATCAATACCTCGGTCACTTTTTATATAGAGAGCATCAGCAACCGTAAGTATTGTGGGGTACTAACTGATATTCACACTATGAACTTTGGCATTTTTGATTATTACTGCTTATTATTGAGAACATTCAGTCCAACACGCATGCGATGTCTGAATCCATCTTCATATGTCTTAATACTTAGTAATGAACTCCTGACTCTATGAAAATACTGTGTCCTTTTTTTGTAAAAGTTTATTATTTATTATCAATTTAACAGGTAAGAATATTTATTTATAAAATGTAATATTTTTTGTTCTTAAGATGGGCAATGAAATAGAAATGTTTTCACCTTTAAAATATGCAGTAAACAATAATTTATTTATGGAGTAAATTTCTTCCCAAATTGAGCGAGGATATTAATTTTAATTTAATTAATTTATTTTAAATATTTTATTTACTCGTGTATCAACTTGAAATCTGCACGAAATCTACTTTCAAAGTCCTACCAAAAAAAATTAGAAATAGTATATTTGTTTCCAGAAAGTATAGTTTTCTTATAGTTTCTTTCTATATTGCAAGCTTAAAAAACCAACAAATTTTTATACTTTTATGCAAATCGAGACTATGAAAAGTGAGAAAATGCAGCAAAAAATATGTGCATTAAAAATTATTATTGAATTGCAATCTGTTTGGAAAGGATGCCTATTAAGAATTGTTTTTTTTTACTGAACTAAACACCTTTTACAATAAATTCGTTTAGTTTTAAAATTTGACAACGCATAATAATTTAATTCCAAGGTATAAGAAAATAGTGTATAAGAAAATATCAAATAAATCTGATTTAAATGTTATATGCGAAAAACTGATTGCAATATATTGTATTGTATATCTTCTATCTTTCCTTTCTATTAATTTTCTATCAATAAAATATAAAATTGCTTTATTGTTGATTAGCACTATAAAAACTAGCATTACGCTATCATAGACTACTGCCTTAGTGATAAAACTTTATCTCTAATGAGATCAAGAGTTGATTCTTTGTTTCAAGAAGGAAAAATATTCCTATTGGGCGTATTTTCAATATTTACGGAGATACTCGTATATGTTATAAAGATAAAGTCTATCCAATAAATTAAACCTAGAACCAAAAAATTCCCAGTATCTTAATTTCTAACTTATTAAATATAAATAATATAATATCGATGAGAGCGCATTGTTCTTTTAAGTGGATGCGGAAATTATGTTTGATATTTTTTGCAAATTTTTCAAGAAACATACAAATTTATTGATAACTTTTGAAACACTCACATACAATTTTTTGGTCTGTAGAAAGAAAAAATCAGCGCAGAAGCTTTCGAGAAGTACGGAAAGTTTTCTTAGCTACTACAAATCTAATCCTACCCAGTTTATCTAGTTAATGTACAAAAAAAGAAATAAATTCAAAAAATTGTTTAATTAATTGCAAATATCCTTCTCTGGACTTTATTTACGGCAAATACACCAACAACAATGTCTTTCTACACTTTCTAGTACCAAATTGTTGCTGTGCTCTTCATATGTTAAGAGCACACAGTAAACAACAACAACAATAATAATAATTAAAGAAAATACTTAATTAAATGCACAATGCACAATGTACAAATACAGACATACACACTTACACATTCCAAGCACAGTTTGCATAGACTATACAAGAGCATTGCCATTGTTACCTAAAACTATGCAACAATATTGTTGCATAGTCCTATGCACAGGAACGCTTTCATATGCAATGAAACAATAAAACATTAAAAAAGAACTACACTTCAATGCGAGAGCAACAACACAACGCAGTGAACGCAACTACATGTCTGCTTTTGGCTTGTATTTGTTTATTAACTGCACAGAATGCAAATTGAATGTGGTGCACTTGTGTTCGGCATACACCGCTGCATTGCCTTTAAGCCTCATTGTGTATTTGTATATGTGAAAGCTTAAGTAAGTTAAGGCTTCAAATTACATTTTCTGCTTATTTTATATAAATTGCATTATTGCTCTTATTCTCTTTCATTTTGTGTTCCTTTTGTTTGTTTTTTCTGTTATTAATAAAAGTGTTGCAGCTGCAGTTTTCGCTGTTGTTCATTACTCGTCGTATGTGCAGCACAATTATTAAGCGGCAAAAGAACAAGAAATGAAAACTTAAACAAATTGTTGTTCTTTTTTCTTTTTCTTTTTTGGGGTATAAAGATTTAGGCAGGGCTTCGAACCGGAATTTTTTCAGTTCCGGTTCAAAACAAAAAAACCATATCGGTTTCTTACAACTTGGTCCTGATGCGAAGCCCTGAATTTTTTCCGTTCCGGTTCAAAACAAAAAAATATATCGGTTCGGTTACAGTTTTCGCTCTGACAAAAATATCGGTTTTCAGTTCGGTTCCGGTTTGAAGCCCTGAATTTTTTCCGTTTTTGTTCAAAACAAAAGAAATATATCGGATCGATTCCGGTTTTCACTTCGACAAAAACATCGATTTTTTTTCGGTTTTCGGTTTGGTACCGGTTCGAAATCCTGGATTTAAGTATTAACATTTTCTTGTTATTTGATTTTATGGCAATATTTATTGAACACTTTCGGTCATTTATTGTTTATTCTTAGATAAACAATTATCGAAAAAATTTATACAGATATTCGCATTAAAAGAGAAGGCGTGATGCCCGAACACTATTTAGTATAGTATCAGGTCTATTTACTGTTGTGGTCAGACTGTGGTACGGGTAATTAATGACGACTTTTTGAGAATATCTATATTGTCAGGTACAGACCTTAAATATTTTTGACAGCTTTCGATTTAGACCCGATAGAATTAATAATCGTACTAAAAATTCAAGACGCTCTGAAAATTTTCAAATTCTAACAACAATACAAACTAACCAGACAACTACCATTGGACAACACTCGGAACTTTTAAAAATCTTGAAATGTGACTTATCATCTTCACATTACAAGTATTTCTATCTTCTAGATTTAAACAGTTCAATGACGAATGGAAGAATATACGAAAGCTGACCTAAATGGTGGGCACTCAGATTAATTGGTTCATAAACTACAATGGCAGAAAAAATAAATAATGTTCTTAGGTTACCGAGAGAGAGGTTGTTATAGCCTAATACCAAACAATCATATGCAATACATTTTTAGACTTCTTCGTAATCTACTGGTTTATTTCTCTAAAATTATGCTTTCTAAATAACCTCAATGTGCAATGGGAAAACATATAAATTAAGTAAATCTCGTCCTCAATGGAAATCGTTTTTGTAAATAGAGCAACATTATATTAAAATATATATTTTATTTAAATAAATTCCACTCTCTCCTACTACAATTATAACTATATAATAAATAAATGTTATATATTTATTTTAGAAAATGCGTCAATTCCAAAAAATACTTGAAGACTTAAGTTCGCGTGTAGCCTCAGCAGAAGCTACCAAAATGGGCTGGAATCCTCCTGCAACAACCCAAGAGGCCACTGAACAAATACAGCACTTGCAGCGCTTACGTGATAAAATGACCACCGCTGGGGCTTTACTTGATGACTGCAATGAACAACAGTCGTTCTTCACTGCTAATCAAGTGTTGGTACCAGCAATTTGCCTTTCCAAATTGGAAGATTTAAATACAAGGTTAATACATTTTTCTATCTGAATTTTAATGCCACAAAAACCCAGTTTTGGGTTTAACTATTTGAAATTACTTTAGAATTGAATTGTGCAAAATGGATGAAATACCTTCATTTAAAATTTGCTTTGAAAAACACTTAAATTCTCTTTATTGTTATTCTTTTATATGGTAAACAAATTTTTTTACAGAATGAAACTTCTACAAATTGCTATGGATGAACGTCAAAAAATACTTTGCAGCTCTGGTGCTAATCTCGCAATTGAAAATGGTGAAGATGGACGAAACACATCGAACAGTGGTACAATTGGCCCATTACCAAATTTGGGACAAAGTGTTAAACCACCTTGGGAACGAGCAACGACAGCAGCCAATGTGCCTTACTATATAGAGTAAGTAGACTACCATTGACATTTTTAATCTACATTTATAAAACGTTTAAAGATAAAGAAATAATAAGTTGAAGAAACTCTTGGACTTAAGATTTTACTCCACTTGATGCAATAATGTATGTTAGTACATTAGGAGTGTTTCGGATAGTTTTTAAAAGCGATTATAATACACAAAAACTTGAATAATATCAACTAAATGAAAATATAATAATCCTTAACGGTTTGAAATTCTCATTTTTAACATATATTTTTAGTCACGAAAGAGAAACCACACATTGGGACCATCCCGAAATGATTGAACTTATGAAGGGTCTTGCTGATCTAAATGAAGTTCGTTTCTCAGCCTATCGAACTGCAATGAAATTACGCGCGGTACAGAAACGACTGGGTAAGCTAATAATAATTTAAATCAAAGTCTTAATAATCAACTCAAATCGTTCTTTGCTTAGCTTTGGATCGCATATCTATGTCGACAGCCATTGAATCATTTGATCGCCATGGATTACGCGCTCAAAACGATAAGTTAATCGATATACCCGATATGACGACTGTATTGCATTCCTTATATGTGACAATCGATAAAATTGACTTAACATTGATGTTGGACTTGGCTATAAACTGGATACTGAACGTTTACGACTCTCAGCGTACTGGACAGATTCGGGTGCTTAGTTTTAAGGTAAGTTTAATTTGAGCTCATCTTTTTATTATTTTTATATTATATACTTCATATGAATAGGTACTATATAAATGTTTTTTAATTATTATGCTCATAGGTTGGTTTGGTGCTGCTCTGTAAAGGTCATTTAGAAGAAAAATATCGGTATCTCTTTCGACTAATTGCCGATCCAGAACGTAAAGTTGACCAAAGAAAGCTTGGTTTGCTTTTGCATGATTGCATTCAGGTAAAGTATATAAATATTTCATTTAAATTTTTTAAATTAAAACAAAATTCGTTGTAACATTCATTGTTATATGTTATTTGTTCATTATTTTTAGGTACCACGTCAATTGGGAGAAGTGGCTGCATTTGGTGGATCCAACATAGAACCATCTGTTCGTTCTTGCTTGGAAAGAGCTGGTATATCTCAAGAAGGTAATATAAGTACCAGTAGTTTTTAGCGCTTTCGAAAAGTTTTTCAATTTCAGTTTTAGGTACAGTTCAATAAAACCAACAATTTTTATAATTTCATTAATATTGATTTGACATCTATCTCTTTAAAGCACCTTTCATATATTTCTCTTTATGATTTTAATCTGTTCAGAATATGAACTGGCGGAACGTTATCTTAATTTCGGGAACATATAAGAATTCTATAGGTCAAAATCTAGTCAATACACTTGTCTATTAATAGTATTGTGGTTCTGACCTTAAATGCAGTCTCAAATACCGATCTCAAATGCAATGACGCCTTATTAAAGTGTAAATGTGCTTTTACAGACATCTGTTAGGTTAGATTTTCTCGGCTAAATTTTGCTTCTTACTGATTTTTAATTACTTCTTTCCATGCTAACTTTTTTTTTTGTTCAACATTGCTATAACTGTTAACATGTCAGGCTTTTGCACCAAAGGCTGCATACTGTTTATGATGCTTTCTAAAAATATAAGATCAGCATTAGCGCGATTCAGTTTGTGTCAAGATATCTGCCCACGAGACTGAAGTTTGCAAATATCAACCAAAAATTGAAACTATATAGTTTTATGGCAAAAATAGTTGCCTTCGGTTTTTCGGTTCGATTATTGACTGCAGATGTCGAACGTACAGATGATCTAAAACAATGAATGTCGACAATCTACCGTTCCTTCTTAAATGCTTTAAAACTAAAAAAGCAGGAATTTAATTCTATATGTGATTCTCAATTGGATTGATAAAGGAATCGAATAAGCGATGTCCGTTTATATCAACTTATTTCGGATCGAAGTTGTCAATCACATTGAAGTAATCAATTTAAAGTCTGAAAGTGCTTTCTCTCTGATTAGGAAAGAAACTTAGTTTGACTGAAATGAAATAATCAATTGAAATTTATTAAAATATTTATATTTAATACCAACTACCAAAAACGTTATTAATATTTTACTAAAGAGTAGTACAATTTACAGTGGGTACTTTAGTATTTAACTAATATATACATTTATCGTTTTAATTTTTTTTCACCTTCGATTTTATAGTTATTGATGCTAATCAGGAAATTTCCATTGAACCTCATCACTTCCTCAGTTGGTTGCAGCATGAACCACAAAGTTTAGTGTGGCTACCAGTGTTGCACCGTTTGGCTGCAGCAGAAAATGCTAGACATCAGGTAAGCTTCAACTCAAAGTGAAACAAATGCCATAAAACACCAAAAGCTGGCTTGTGACCAAACAACTATACGCGCTCTACTTACAAGACATTGCGCCTTATTTTTCTATTTTGCAACCATCCATTTTAATAACAATTATCAAGCCATTTCCAGGCAACTAAGCTTTCACACCATTCGTTATCGAATAACGAACTGTGTTTATATGGCACTTCCTCCCCACACTCACCGTTAATTGATTTTCTCACTAGTATTGCCGTTTCTATTCTATTACAGGCAAAATGTAACATTTGCAAGGAATATCCGTTAGTTGGCTTCCGTTATCGTTGCCTGAAGTGCTTCAACTTTGACATGTGCCAAAAGTGTTTCTTCTTTGGCCGTAATGCCAAGAACCACAAATTGAGTCATCCAATGCACGAGTATTGCACAACAGTAAGTATAAAGGAGAAAGTAGAATAACAACAATAAAACCAAATACCCTGGACATATTCTAATGAAATGAGAATGGAGACAGGACGAGAAATTTTAGAGAATTTTATTATAGAAAATAAAATAAAATAAAATGAAATAAATTGTATTAATATACTCACAACTTTTATTTTTCGCAGACAACTTCTACTGAGGATGTGCGAGATTTTACCCGTGCTTTGAAAAATAAATTTAAAAGTCGTAAATACTTTAAGAAACATCCGCGTGTGGGTTATTTACCTGTACAGAGCGTGCTGGAAGGTGATTATCTTTATTATTTGCAACTTTAGCAGCAAGTTTATGCAAACACGTTTATATTTTTACAGGAGATGCTCTGGAAAGTCCAGCGCCGAGTCCGCAGCATACTACACATACCTTGCAGAATGATATGCACTCTCGCCTAGAAATGTACGCTTCACGTTTGGCACAAGTCGAATATGGTACAGGCTCGAATTCCACTCCAGATAGTGATGACGAGCACCAGCTTATTGCACAGTACTGTCAAGCATTGCCAGCCAATAATGGTAGTGGGCCCAAATCACCTGTTCAAGTAATGGCTGCTATGGATGCGGAACAACGAGAAGAGCTTGAGGCGATTATACGTGATTTAGAAGAAGAGAACGCAAACCTCCAAGCGGAATATCAACAATTATGCAACAAGCAAAGTAGTACTACACCAGATGAGAGTGGCATGCAGCATTCTAATTCCGCAATGGGCGGCCTGACATCCAGCGCAAGTGCAATTGGCCAAGGAGAACAAGGACAGGTACATTGGAGCGCAAAATACATTGAAATCAAAATTTAAATTAAATGTTCTATTCTATTACTTGTATGAATTTTCTGCAGGATATGATGGCTGAGGCAAAACTACTGCGCCAACACAAAGGTCGACTGGAGGCTCGCATGCAAATTCTCGAGGATCACAACCGACAGCTGGAGGCACAATTACAGCGCTTACGCCAATTGCTTGATGAACCTAATAGCGGTGGTGCAAGTGTGCCTGGTTCAGCGCTGAATTCCAAACCTAACACATTACAAACACGTTCCGTTACTGCGTCGCAACTTAATACTGATTCACCAGCCAAAATGAATCAACAAAATGGACATTACGAGCAAAACTCAAGTAAGTCAAAACAAATCTATGTACACCACTTAAATACGTATGCGTTTGTGCAACATGTTTTTCTATTATTTAATTTCACATGCAACACTGCATTGCTTCAAATGCTGCCCCAAACATTTGTTGTTCACATACTTTGTTGCATGTGCTTAGTTTTTAACTTCTTGTAGAAATGAAAATGTAGACGAGCTTCAACAGTGCAGTTTGTGGAAATGTTGCGTTTGTTTCTACAAACGAAAGATGCAACCTTAATACATTATTGCCTGTGTACTAAAAGTATTGAACGAATTGTTTTTATACTTTCTTTCTCAATTTCGAGTTGTTATCGCTTTATAATTTAATTATTTAAATAAACTAATTAAAAAGCTAAATAAATTATTATTATCAATTATTAAGCAGTCAAATATTAAAACTAATGAATACACAAAATATGTATATGTAATAGTACTTCATAGTTTCCGAGGATTGCAATGATCGAGTTCCTCGCAAAATATTAAATTCAATCACGTGGATTGAACTTTTTAAAAGTTGAAAAATGTTCGAGCTGCTCGAAGTTGTTCGCGCTATTCTGACAGCGTCATATTTCCAATTTGCATATATCATTTAATTTCATTTTGTTTTATATAAATACGTGTAACATAAAGTACTTGGACACAATATATTGTTCGTCTCACAGTCCAGTTGCTTACTCGGATATCAAAATCCTCAAAGCTTCCAATGGCTTGAATAATATTTAAAGCAATATATGATTTAGTAACGACTAATTTCCGACATAATATTGTTTAAATGATTTATCCATTTAATAACTGCCTCTAAAATTGTTCCCTTAGGTGTATATATGTATATATATATGAAAAAATACTCTCCAACATTTGGATTTATTTCAGCTACAAAATTGTTACTTTTGTTAAAAAGTGACAGTTAAAAGAACATATTAAATTAAGTATTATTTCTAAGTATCTAATTTTAAATAACACAAAAATTTGGAACTCTTTATATGTTGCAAGTAAAACAAACTTTTTTTCCTGATCCCAAATACCATGCTGAATATTAAGATAAGCTAGTAGGAATCGTCTTATTTGGACGTTACACCACTGGTGTACATTTCTTCATTTATGTTGGTATCTCAGTCTTTAAGAGATTTTCATACTTAAGTTCAAAATAAGCTATTAGTATTCTATTCTACGCCACATATACACTCTATATTGAGGATCGGAAAAAAATTTGTGTGAGCATTTCGACATGAAAACCGAGTGGAGTAGAGAGTTGTAGATTACAATTTTTAACTTTGCATGCTGTATGTACCTACATACTTGTATTCCACTTTATACAAAAGCATGAAACACTCGTATGCAAAAATAAGGTCATATTATTAGCCATCATAATTTCTCTGTAACTATATATTTGCAACAATATTTCAATTGTTACTATTATTCACCGCATTTTAGTAACAAAAACTTTTATAACGAATAGAAATAGTTAAATGAATATCATTCCTAATCCCTGCTCTACAACAAATTTGCAACAAAAACGTTGTTGTCATGTGTATTATAGGAATTTGTATTGTAAGTGTACTTTAACGTGTATATTGTTACACTTAGTTGGGTTAGTCAGCTTAGTTGGCATTTTTTCTGTATTTTATATAAATTTCCATATGTGGAATAACTCATATACAGTATTTGTTACATTTAGAATGAATCGAGAACTTATCCTTGTCATTAAGAATATATTTTATATATGTATATATGTAAAAATCAAAATTAGCTGTAGAGTACATATTTTTATTTTTGATTAAATTAAATTAATTAAATAATTATAATAATTAAAAAATTTAAATTAAAAAAACACATAAAGTAGAAATGAAAAATCACTGTTGAAGGGACTTGAGTCTGGAGTTAAAAATGAGTACATTTTCAATGCTCGATTTAATTGTTTCAGTAAGTGATGTTGAGTTGATGTTGATTTTGCAATCACTAAAGGACGCTGACATGAGTTTGTGTTAGGCCATAAATAAAATAATTAATTATTCCACAAACTATGCTAACAAAAAAATTACTAAATTTTATCACAAAATTCAATAAATTATTAAGAGGATAACATTGATTTGATTTATATTTAAGCCAAAGTAAATGAATTAATTGTTAGTTTATGCATAAAACTTAATTAAATGTGAATATTTTCTTTATTTTTTTCTCTACACAACATTCAATCTAACCCTACAAAACAATTTTTCATGTGTGTGTGTATTTGTTTATGCACTGCCGCCCGCCGTTATGAACGCCATTTAAAAATGTCAAACCAAAACAATACGAAACTTTTAAAATAAAAAAAAAAACAACCGACGTCGTAACAAAAAACATAAACAACCAAAAAAAAAAACGACGAATACAAACAACGACAATCCCTCTATATGTTATTGCCGTATGCACTACTCGTTGCCGTTCTCGTCGTCGTGCTCGTTGTCGTCCTCGTTGTTGTTGTTGTTGTTTATGGTGCAGAAGGAATTATGCTGGCCGGTTTGGTAGGTGGAGAGCACGCGGTCATGGGTAAACATCAGTTGGGTGCTGCTTTGGGCGCGCTACAACGCGGCGCAACAGGAAACGGCGGCATCGATTTGAGTGGCGCTGCTGGTCAAGCTTACATCGGCGATGATGGTCGTCCGCCACCACCACCGCACTCAAGTTTACTGCATAACTTATCCGGTAGGAATGGCTTCATTCCCATTTTTTCGAACTAAAATATTTTTAATTATAATTTTCAAAAAATTTAATTTTTGTCGCTTGCTTTGCTCTCTTGTTCCAAAAACAATAGCAAAAACTTGATTTCGTTGATGCTTTTTTCTTTTTTAAGTTGGACTGCAAATAAAATTGCAACTTTGCATGCGTAGTTTTATTACTTTGTTAAACTACTTTATGATTGTTGTTGTTGTTGTTGTTGTTGTTGTTGTTGTTATTATTATTATTATTATTGTTTTTGTGTTTGTGGACAATTTTGAGTTTTAGAAATAATTTATTAAATTTTTTGCGATGCCAATTTGCTCCTTTTATTTTTTTATTTTACCCTTTGGTGTTTATATATAATAAATATATTGTAAAATCGATATTGTGATTGATGCATATTTTTATTGGCAAAATAATATGTTGTTTTTTTTAAATAATTTACAATCAATTTTATTTTGATTCCTAGAGCATTTGGAAATATATGGACTTACGAAAAGACTATAATAAAGTTTTATATATCTTGAAATAGATATTATATATAATTATTCAATATAATATTATTATATATAATATTATATAAATTTATAGTGTTTTTACTTTAAAAGGTATTTCGTGATCAAAAAAAAAATTAAACATATTAAGAACGAGGAAAATATACATTTTCAATATTTTGCAAGATATAGGGTCTCAAGTAATTATCCAACGGTAAAAACTTTTGCTCAGAAAAACAGCAAACTTTTCAACAATCACCTTACTATTGGTAATTCATATCGCACACCCTCTTCAAAAGAGGGACAACTCGAAATTCGTCAGTTTTCAGAAAACGCAAAATATGTTTTGCAATGTAGAGTCATTCCTAACAAAAAAGAGATATAACTGTTTTTTTCGACAATTAACAATAATAAAAATAAAGTGGAATGATAGATAGGTAAACTATAAGTAAGTTCCATACATTAACTCAAAATTGACGAATTTAGAATTTTGCCTTTTGATTGTGCTTGTGCTTTTGAAGAGGGTGTGCGATATACTATATGAGCTAACTCTTGTTAGTACTTAAACACACAAAAACGATGACAGAAAATAAACATACATTTCAATATTATCTCGTTCTTAGCCTTAATTATGTGTAATAAATGTACATAAATGATGGAAAAATTGACATAACTCATACTGCAGTACAAACATCACTGCATTTATTTACGTCAAATTATTGAGTAAAATTTTAAAAATTTAATTTTATTCGACTTTACCAGCCTACGAACCATTAGGAGTAGCAACCAAACATAATGAGGTGCTATACAAAGATACATAGAAAGTTTGCATGGCTTCTGGCACTGTTAATAGCTCCAATATGCAAAAACTTATTTCTTCGCCATTCCGACTCTTTAGGAGTTTTACTTTATGGTTACTATGTGTAAAAATAAAATTTATTTCACACATTTGAAGTCAATTAGATTTTTAAATTACCATCGAAATGTAGTTCATAAATTTTTAAAAATAGTTTCGAGTCGAGTTTTATAAATATATGCACATATTTACACAATGTATAAGGATCTACTAATTTTATTCATACTTTTACTTTTTGCAGAAAATAAGTAATATGTATTATTATTTATTCTTTCCAAATGTTCTATATTTAATTCCATTTTAATTTGCCTAGCTTCCGAAAAATCTGAATGTTGTGCACGAATGTTGTGCATTGATATTTTTAAATACCTGAACTAATAAATAATTTTAAATTCTCTTTTCTACTCTCTCCTTCATACTCCTCTTAACCGTGCCAACTCTAATCGTAATGAATGATTAGATCTTGCTTAAATAAAACAAAAAGATAATAAGTTCTTTCAAGACCGAACTTGGAGTGCAGAAACTCAGATCATAAATGGTAATTTTTGTAATAAAACATAGTAATTTTTAAATCAATAAATAATGTATATTAAAAAATAGTTCCAATTTGCACCATTAATTCAATGATTTAATTTTTTTTATAGTGGATATTGGGCGCGCTGTCGAGGAACTGGTGACCGTTATTACTGAGCAGGAGATTGAGCAAACAATGGAGGCTCAAAACCATGTCGATTGCAGTGATCTGGATATACTGGAACACGTATGACGCCACTATAATAACAACCAAGCCATTTATGTCAACATCTAAACTGGAAATATAATTTTATCATTTTTAGCAATAGCTAATAGCTAAAATTTAAATAAGAAATTTAAATAGTGCATTCTATATATGAACGAAAATTTGAAAAAACGAAAAAAATTAAATTCAATTCAAACTTTGATGTGAAACTAAGCAAAAAGTTATTATGAAAAAGCAGCAGTTAAATGAAAAAGTATCTATGAAACTGAAACAAAACATATTATGCAATATTAACATATACAAATTTACTATACATATTTATATACTTTATAGAATTACATATATTATATACATATACTTAATTAATATACAAATATAAACATACTTTGAGTAATAAAACTTATGCATATATGTTAGTTATTAAATACACACATATATATATCTATATATATATATATAGAGAAACAAAATGTTATTAGTATAATTATAAAATATTGAAGCAGTTAAAAAAATATGATGTTTAAAAATTTATTATACAAATTCAAAGTAAAGTAAAAGAAATTATAATTAATTATAAAATTTGATTTCGTTTTTATTATGGAAAAATTTGAATTTTTTAAAGAAGTAAATAAAAATTTATATGTTATAAATATTTGTATCAAAATGTTTTAAAAGAAATATTTTATTTTTTTATTGTTTAATTACTTAGATATCTGAACATTTTATATATTAAATATTTTGTATTATTTGAAAATTAAATTTTGTCCATATTTTAAAAATGTTAACGAGCTAAACAGGTATTTAATCTAAAATTTTGTTTGAATTTTTATTTAGTTTAAATATATTATTTGTTTTACTTTTTAAAATAATTATAATGAATAAAAATTTATTAAAAAATTTGTTTATATTGTTTTATTTTTTATAAGAAAGTAAATGCGTTTATTCGATATTTTTAATTTCTATTGCCACTTCATTCGCATTTATGACATGTGCAATGTTTGGAAGCTTAATCATTATCCTATTAGAGCAATTAAATATATTTTTCATTTTGATTATATATAGTGAAATAGTCTTCTTGTTTTTAATAAATATATATATATATATATGAACTTAAAAAATGCTTATAAATTAATTGATTTATGCCTTGTTAAATATTCATATAATATAATTATTTTAAAACAATTTGTTAACAATTTTTGCTTCGAGTTTTTTTTGTTTTTTGTTTTGTATATATACTATTTGTTATTGTGTTTCTTTTGTAAATTTGTTTATTTTAATAACCAAAAAAATTATTTTAATTTTAAAGTCTTTTTGTGGGTAATTAAGGTACTAATATTACTATTTTATTTTCATATAAAACAAACACTGCGGTTGTATTTAATCATAAATTTTATTTAAATTGATTATATGGTAGCTTCAATTATTCGATTATTTTTGATAAAAAACTTCAGAAACTATTTACAACAGCTGTACTATATATAAGAATACAATTTTGCTAATACGAAAACTATACGATATAATAAGTAAATCCAATAAGTTAATTTAGTGGTTATGTACTTACATCAATAACTTATATGAAAATATGTTCTTCTACAGTAATTATCATAAAGTAATACATTTGCTATATTAATTTATTATATTTATGTATTGTATTCTATATATTTAGATTAGTAAAATTGTAATAAATTTTTTATATATTTTATTGTTGTGGCAAATAGTTTCTGAAGATGAATATCGAAAATGGTTCAAGTATCGAATTTGTTAATAAATAATAATAAATGAAATAGAACCAATGTGTTTTGTTTTAAAAAAATATAAGTAACCTAATAACACACAAACAAACATTAAAACTAAATAAATAATATATTTCATTTAATTTTAATTCACTATTTATTAATTTCAATATTTTATAATTATTTTTAAAGAAATATTTATAAAGAGTTTTTGCGAACAGTAGTGAACTACAATAACAAAAATTCATTTTATATTATTTTGATTAATTGAAAGAAATTTAGAATTATTTATTTAATAGATTATTGCAAAATATATGATATAATATAGCAAATTTAAAACAGTATTAACAAATAGTTATATACTAATTATATATGGAAAAGAACGAAGATTTTTAGTAATATAATAAATATTAGAACATTTACGAACTTAATAAAATTTTGAACTTAATCATGCTGACGAAAACGATCATAAATGGACCACCTTTTCTACTCTCTTTAAATTAAAAATTTATATATATGCAAAATCCTATACTAGTAACACAAAATAAAATTATTTATTAATAGTAAAATATAGTAAAAATATTTCATAGTCCTACAATTTAAAAAAATAAAAACTAACTATATTTTTAAATGATGCATTATAAATGAAATTTCCTCAACTAATGACTTTCATTAGTTTATGATTTTCCTTATTTTATGAAATATAAACATTTTTTGTCCTATAGCCAATTCACTCATTGTTTAAAACTTTTTACATACCCATAACATATCAACAATACATCTTCTGGTACAGTGCCCTGCTTTCTCCTACTTAGGGTCGCCCTTTTGCAATTCATTAAGAAATTCGTGTCAATGGCTTTGTGGCCAGTACTAACATAAGTGGTTATAGTAACCTATAATCTCATTCCTTCCCATATCATTATAATGCATATAATGCATTCTGTAATATATCTGCCATAAGGGTGATATATTACCGTCAATATCCATGTTGATTTAAGTAATTGAACCATTCAATACCAGGACTCGATGTCAATTTTTGTTAATATTTTTTTTTAAACTAAATTTTGTATATATCAAATTGTTATAGCATTCTCACTATCCATCCAACTGATATCCATAAATTAACTAAACAAAATAAATTTTTTTTTTCATAAAACCTACCATAAATAAATAAACAGTATCTTAAATGAAATAATATTACCTGCATTTATTCAGAACGAAAGCCTAATTTTGTTGTGACTATCTCCAATCCAAACCGTCTACAAAAATAATTCAACCATTAGTCCAAACAGTAACTTTATACCCAATATTATATGTACTAAACCAAGTATTTTATAAATTATAAAAATTTGACAATATAAATAAAGAATTATATACGTATGTATGATATAAGTATTAAAAACTAAATTTATTAATTATAAACATATATTGAATCATATTTAATATACGAGTATATTACACACATATCTACATAAATGCGATGTTTTCCTATAATATTTAGCATAAATAAATTTTTTAAATTTTTAGAGCAAAGTTAAACGAATTTAAATAAATTAAGTTGTCTAAAAGTATTAAAAAAAGTCAAAAAACTACTTTGAAATGATAATAACAAATAAATTTGAATTTATTATAAATTCACGAGTTCAATAAATTGGCATATAGTAACAACATATTAAGAATATACATATCCATTAACTAAATACAGTCTTAAATAAGATCTGCATTTTAAGAAGATTCTTTTTCAAAGGAGATATAAAAAATTAAACTATATAATTGCGTGTCTAAAGGTTAAACTTTTATATATTACTTACATTTATTTATGTTTCATAGACGTAAATTGCCACTATATTATGTTCATTTATTACTGCCGGTATTTTGCCATTTCCAAAAACTAGTTTACTTATTCAAAGTAATTACTATTTTAATGAAAACTATATAATTTTATTAATATTTAGAAAAAAAATGAACTGTTTAAGTAAATTTATATATGTCGAATGTCAGAATCTAATCAGTTCTGGAGCAATTGCAAATCTGCATTGCAGAGCATTCTATAAGAATATTCTCTCTAATTGGTTGATTTAATAGATCTGAGATAAAAAATTACCGACATATCCGTAATGAACCAAAGTCTTCATTTAATTAATTTTAATAGATAATGTGTTATATTTTGCCACTTTTTATAAGATTTTTTATATATAAAATTAACAATATTGAAATTTATATCAACGAAATGAATATCATTTTTAAATATAGTATAGGCTATTCCTATAGTATAGGAATACCATTTATTTTAAACACAATCCTTTTTCTAATTTTATACAGAATATATAAATTATTATAGTAGTTTATTTATAAGTAATTGATATTGCATATAAAATATTATACAAATGACGAATATTGCAAAGAAATTTACTGCACTAATTTCGGTGTCTATTGTATTCAAATTAAATATGCATATATAAAAATTATAAAGCACTATATAAATGTTTTACTGATTCAAACTACAAAATTATGTATTTGTGTATATATGTATAAAAGAATAAGTGCAAAGCTTTCTCAAACTGATGTGTAGGCAATATATTCTATATACTGTTAAAAGAAAAAAATTTTATTTTTAATATTATTTTTTTTTATTAAAAATTTTTTTTTGTTTCTGATATTGTTGTTAGTTTTAAACATGATCAAAAATTTTTTTCTTATAGTAAATATATTTCACTCTGAAATTTTTTTATAAAGATAACAAATTAGTTACTGATTTGTATCGCTTCAATTCTCAACTAAATTCACCTCTTCACCTAAACTTAAATTTACTTTTTTCTAACAATTATGCTTAATTATATCAGATAATTAAAAAAGTTTTGTTTTATATAATTATTAATATAATTGTATGAATAACTATGCATAATTATTTTCCTAAATAATTAGTTTACGAATACGAAAATGAAAATGAAACTGCACAAATCTTTTTTTTTTCAAAGTTCACTTTCACTAATTATTTTATGACTCGCTTACGCATATATATCGAAACAAATACATATGTATATATGTATATATATATACATATATATATATATATAATATATTCATAAGTTCAAAAGTATATCATTAATTTAATATTAGAAAAAGTAATAATAATTGTTTCTACTGAACTTTATTACTAATTTAGATTCTAATTGTAACAAAAATTTGTACCTATCTTTTTATACCAAAATCTAATAAAATAAATTATAAATGAGATAATAAAATAAATCTTAATATATACGAATATATATATACGTACTAATAAATGCAACTGCATTTTAATATCAATATTTAACACAACTTTGTAAACGTAAAGTTAATAATTTATATATTATAAAAATAAATCCGAAACGAATCTGAACTAAAACTTATATAAAAACCTTAGAAACATTTCTTGAGAATACGTATATTAAACTGAAGCAAAATTTTAATGCTTCATATAGGTATGCTAAAATCAAACGAGAGTTCTAATATATCACTTATGTTATATGCATATTATATGCGAAATAACCAACATTATTTATTGAAATATAAATATATATGCATTATTTAATAAATTATAAAAAAAACAATAAAATGTAACTAAGAGTATTATAAAGTATATAACAAATTGTGTTGATGTAATTAACACGAACTCATGTCTAATAAATATAGTTAAATATTTAAATAATTAAAAACTTACGTAGTAAATTCGTTTCATTTGGGGCGTATATATAAATAAGTGCACCAAGGTTTTACAGAGCAAATTGCATACAATTCTGCTTCCATAACTCGAGCTTCTATAACTCGAATTTCTCTATAACTCGAATAAAAACTTTGTTGCGTGCCGACAGGAACATGGGAAAGTGCATTCTATAAGTCGAATTTATGTTTTAAGTATAAATGCATTTTGCTGTTAGGGAAAGTCCTTTTTTCAGAACCAAATGTTTAATATTTTCTTTCTTATGTTTCTTCTTTGTGCAAATACCATTCACTGGCAGCGTGGTGTATATATTATATTATATTGAACTTGATAATGAAATTTGTACATCAAGCTTTCCTACAGTTGACGATATTATTGAGCACTATAACTCTAAATTATTGGATTCAATTTTTAGCGCAAGGAAAGGGGTGATGAGGGCTTGGTGGATGTAATTGTTCATCAGCCTTCCAAGAATGAAGTGGAAGACTCATTCAAAATTATGAATTTATGATACTACAACTGATGATCACTATAAGAGTATGAATAAAGTGGAATCTCTTTTTACTGAAAATAAGAAAAAAATTAAAGTCCCTAACCCTAATTTCTGAATATTTGACTTCACTATAATTTTTGTGCTTTATTTGATTGCAAATAAATAAATATCTTAAAATGTAATTTTAGTTTCTTCCAAAAATAAAAAAATTCTCTAACCCAAAGTCTCCATAAGTCGAACCTTTTCTTTGCAAAATTAAACTTCGAGTTATGGAAGTTTGCCTGTAGATCGGTTCAATTCCAGATTTCAAATAAATATTCTTTAAAAATTCTGTTGCAAGTAGTTATTTTTTCATAATTATAATTTTTGTATAATTATTTTTTTCTTAAATCGTAGTCATCGAGTTTAATAAACAAAATAAACAAATGCTTCTCTTTTGTGTTCACGGTTCAGTTCTGGTTAAACAATCTGATATAAATTGATTCAAATTGATTGCAAAAGTTTTTGTAATAATAATATACTTCTAAATAATCGATTTCATACCACTTCCTTAAGTGCGTTTTTTGATAACACCCATCTATCTAATAATACCCGCATGCAATTTGATTGTGGTCCAATAACAAGCTCATTCTTCTGTAAAACTAAAAACACTTTCTTTCAGTCCCAAAGCAAAAGTAGTTATTCTAATTGGAACTTGCATTCGTTTCAATGGACATGTTTTTAACATACTCGCGTCCCGCAGTGTGGCAATCAAAATTCTATTTTTTCCGAACCAGTGAAGATATTAAAATAAAATTTTCTTTACAAATAGTTTTAGGATAGAATTTTATTTGAATATATTTTGAGCCCAATCGGTTAATTGAAATCTTTTTTAATTTTAGTTAACATAAGGTCCACTTTTATGAAATTGGAGGAATTTGGAAAAATACTTGTACTTTATCGCTAGGGCTCAGAAAGTTTCGTGACATTCTACCTATTGCAATATCCTCTCCCTAAACAATGTTTTCATCCCGAAATTTCATTGTTTATTCATTTTCATTTTTCATTTCATTAGGTATCATAAGTTTATGTTCAGCACTGGATTTTTAAAAATTTCAAAAAAGTGATAAGCGTTCTTAATTTACCAGTTTAAAAACTAAAAATTGGGCTCCGCTTCCTATTAACTATTTGTTGTTCTGAAAAAGCAAAAGACTTCACATAGTTTTAATTTTTTTATTCTACCCACAAACTTAAGCTTAGAAAACAACAACACACAATTATTTAATTATTATAATCCATTGGAATGAAGCAGAGAGGAACACAGGATGTTGGAAAGCACACAATCGAATGAACCAATAAATATTATCATAGGCGCTAGAAAAATACAAATCCGAAACGAACTACTGGTCTATAAAAAGTCGCCATTTGCTGCTAAATTTTGAAGTCGGAGATTTGAGATTAATTAATATCGGTTAATGATAATACGGTGCATGATGTGAAGCTGGGCCTGGACCAGTACCCGCGACCAATGGTCCACCATATGCACCATGTGCCAAAGCAGGATAAGCAGCATGAAAACCAGCCGGAATGCCAGCATGTAAAGCATTTAATGCAGCTGCAGGATATGCTAGAGCAGCTGGCAGTGGAGCTGCTACGGGTTTTGGTACTGGTGGTAAGGGTGGAGCAGGTGCGGGTGCAGGTGCAACTGCAGGTAGTGGAGCTGGCGCAAGTACAGGTACTGGTGCATGTGCTTTGTATGCTACTGGCTCTTTACGTACTACAGCATTGAAACCATTATGTGGATCTGCAATGTAATCAACAGTGCGCTTAGTGCCATCTGGATCAAGTACTGAATAACTGCCTTTGACCACATCGCCATGACGTGTTTCATGTTGACTCTTGGAGTCACCAGTATAGCCATCACTTATATCATATCCAAAGGAATACTTTGGTGCAGCATCGTAAGGTTCTGGTGCGGCTGGCTTAGGTGCTGTATTATTAGTACAAAAATAAATATAAAAGTACATGAATTATAATTTAATCGAGTTCTTACCGGCAGCAATGTAAGCAGGTGCTGATACTGCCGCATGATGTGGGGCATAGCCTGCATAATACGGACCAGAGGGTCCATATGGTCCACCAAAAGGGCCAACAACACCACAATGTGTTAATGCGAGCAAAGTGCACAGTGAAAATATCTTCAAAATATACAAAATAATGAATATTCCTAGTTTTACTAAAGTTTATATGTTTCAATATTTAAATTTTATCACTTTCTTTTTTCTCGTGTAACACTTGGAAATGGCAAACCCATTCCTGATCCATGACAGGAAATAATAATCAAAACTTTTATTAATACTCTTACACTACAGAACCCACATATGTGCACAGTGCGTTCACACACACCTTTAATAACCACATCCTTTCCTTATAGAGAGCGCTGTAATCCTTTTTATCTGAGTTCAATTTCACTGTAAGTACGCGAAGAATATCGCGTTTTTAATCCGTCGAGAGGCACAATGAAGATTGCACTAATGTAACGCCAAGTCACTTAAACAACAGAGACTGTGCTGGAAACTGACGCCACAGTGTTTTTATACGGAGTCCAAATGCAAATGTCAACCGTTTCACATGGAAATCACGAATTAGCGTTTGGGCTGCGCTTTATGGTTTTTTATTTCTGTTCATTCTGCTTGATTTAGGCTTCGCTTCGAATTGCAATGAATGAGTTTAGATGTTTTTTTTTTTTGTATCCAAATTTTACAGAAATTCAATTCTGAAAATACTTTGCTAAGTAGGCAAAGATAAATTGGACAAATCGGAGCATTGATCATGAGCAACAGCCAAATATGCTGAGTTAGTGCACATACCTTTTCGCTGATTTTGAAAGGTTAGTCTTTCCATTGGCTACTGAAGGATTGAAGAAACTCATCGAGCCTTTTAGCACTTTAGTTTCCACTACAATCTTGAGATTTCAGACAGACTTTAGTCTGACAGACATTAGTGTTGCGTCGCAATATTGATTAATTTCCTTTGCAAACAATTTCTGCTTATAATCGGTATTAGTTTAGTATATTTTGACCTACTACTTCACATAACAACCAGACATTTTTTAGTGGAACCATCCTGCAAGACACTCAAATTACCTCTTATTTAATCGCATTTGTAGGATTTCAATTATTTATTTAAATTTTTTTTACCTTAAGCTTTGCAAATGTGTCACTTTTACAACTGAAGAAAGAAAATACATTGTATTATTCATTACGGCAGCTCTAATAAAATTGCAAAACGAAGATATGAATGCACCTCCAGAAGAAAACAAGAAACTAAACCACACAAAATCATTATCACATAATATCCACATCTGAAAGAGAAATTGACTAGTTTAAGAATTTGGAGTTAAACTCTCCACCAATAATAATTATTACCATTCTCAACATTATAATTTTTTGTGAGCCATAGTTTCTTTCACTATGTTCAGCCAGTTGGTCATAGTTAATGATCGCCTTAGTTGTCAAGCAGTGTTCTAATATACTATTTCCGTTGTCGTCAACTTTTTTTTTCTGGCATATTCCAATCTACTTATCACCATTTTCTCTATTCTGTAGACATGACCTAACCGTCGAATTAGTTTTCACCGTGAGTTAGGTTTAGTGCTTTTGAGATATCGCATTCGATAAGACAAACTTTTTCCTAATTATTGGTCAAAAGTATTCTCAATATTGACCTATCAAATGTATGGAGTTAATAAATTGTACCCGTATGTTGTACCTACACACCATATCCATTTGTTGCACAAGGTCTCTCAGAGTTTTGTATATCTTTAGTTTCGTTGTTGATTTCAGAAATTTGATTTTTAGTAGATTTATTTATTTACGTTTATATACGATCATGGATATGTTTAGCTTGGTTGAACTTACAGATATTTGCCTTTATTTAAACTTTAAAATATGTAGTCATCAGTTGCCCAGTTAGATAATTTTTTAGTCACATTTACCTTGGTTAATTTGTAAAACAAAACGTCTAGCACCAGCTTTTAAGAATTTATATGCTTCCATGCTATTCTTTCATAGGTGTCGATAAATAGTCTAGTCATCAAACTATAACTTTTGAATATGTCTTTGTTAGTGAAAGTGCTTTAAGATCATAGAGTTTACGTTCTGTAATTTCTTTTACAAAGGCAAACATAACATTGTCAATACCATTCCGCAAATTCGTACATATAAGTACATATAAGGCATTTTCATATCCACAAAGTTTTCTAAAAATTTGGGCACTAACAATAAACCTGCCAAAAAAATTATTGTAGTCACATCCACATTTTTTAATGAACTCAATTTTTTTCATTTGGAGTAACTTCCGATTCTCTTATTAATATCCACTTTAATAGCAAAACCATGGCGGAGCAAGTGTCAGAGTCTTATATTGCGGCAGCTACTATTTGCAGTAACGTTAGATGCCGTGTTGAAAAAATCACTGTCGAAAGAAGGGGCATTTTATGGAGAGTCATCCAACACCTCGAAGACCTCGACTATGTGGACGAGCATATACTCTGCCGCACCGGTGAGTCTGCGGATCAACATAAGCAAAACAAGGGCCTGCATGATTAAGTCAAATCAAGCTCCCACTTTCACAATCAGTAACACCAACATTGAAACCGTTGAAAATTTCTGCTACCTTGGAAGCATAATAAATACAACGGGAGGCGCAAACATTGACGTACAAAGCAGAACCAACAAGGCAAGCTCTGCATTCGCAAGTCTCCGTAACATCTGGAGCTCAAGCGAATTATCTCCGAAGACTAAGATCAATGTATATAACGCATGTGTCAAATAAATTCTGCTGTATAGCTCTAAAACATGGCTAGTGAGCTCTGAAACTAGCCGCATGTTGCAGTCCTTTATTAACAGATGTCTGCGAAATATATTGAGAATTTGGTGGCCCCGTGAGGTGGACAATGAAACGTTGGTGCAACTCACTAGCCAAGAAAACATTTTATGTTATGTTATGTTATGTTAAGCCCTTTCCGAGTTAGTTCATCGGGGCACTTATATTCTGTGATAGCTGGGGGGATTCTGTAGAGTCCCGCTCATCTCACTGACTAAATTGAGTATTTCTGATAATCCTCGTGATTACTCAATGATTGATCTAAGATCTGCGTACCGCCCCATGCAGTTAGTGATTATTCTGAGATCAGATAGTGTTAAGTGGGCAAGCCTGTCGGTTTTCTCATATAGCTTCAGAGCTCAGAGCCTTTGGAGAGCCTCATTTTGAGCTTTTGGATAGTAGAATCGGCAGCTTTGCTATACGCGACACACCCAGAAAGTAGTGCTGGTCTAATTATCTGGCTGTAGATCAGATTTCTGTTCTTCACGCTAAGTTTCTTGTGTTTGAAAAGTGGTTGTAAACAGTGCAGTGTTTTTGCGCAACTACTTCTTTTATTTTGTACGTGCTTGTGCCAACTGAACCGCTTATCAAATATGATTTGTAAGTATTTAATGCTGTCCTCCCAATTAATCGCGATGTCACCGACTCTCACTCTAGGTGGATGTTGCCTGTGTTTACGAGTAATAAATAGGGCTTTAGTTTTCTCATTGTTAATTTTTATTTTTCATTTCTGGAAGAACTACAACTGGCTCGGGCACACATTAAGAAAATCCTATGAACAGGTATGTCGTGCTGCCCTACACTGAAATCCACAAGGCAATAGAAGACCACATGGAGAAGAACAATCCGGCAGAAAACTAATAAATCATTTAACGAATTAAGACATTTAGCATTAAACAGAAGTACGTGACGATTCTATGTAAATAGTTTATGTTCCTGATGGTATACGGTTTTATAATATAGCAATAATACTACAGGGTATTTTTAAAGAATACCGCTTTAAATTTACCTCCTTCAGTTGCTTAAATATTTCTTGACTTCTTAGTTTCACTTAATATGCCTTCTTCCATTTGAATAAATCAGGAATAGATTATATATATCAAGCAGATATCAAGCATCCATGCTTACATTTGCACAGTTTAGACATGATTTTCGGCATGTGTTAATGCATTTGGGTATAAAAAGATTTCGTACTGCTCGGTTTGCTAATATCTACTTTTTTTTTTGATTCGTTCTGTTGATCAATATATTTACTTCTTCGGAAGTAATTTCTTCACTTCACATCTATGTTTTAGATATTCAGGTCTACTATAAATGTGCTTTTAACTAAAACATTTCATGCCAGGTCAATAGTATATCCATAGCAAATACAGACTACTTTTGAGGGAGAGATTTATAGCTGTAAGAAAATAGTTTTAGATCCCTATCAAATCCTCAAGTAAATATTTTCCATTCAAATGCAATTCAGTGTTGTTAATTTTATTGAAATAAAGTTATTATTTCTATATATATAAAATTATTATTTTTATATTCAGAAATAATGCAAAATACAATGTGAAGGTTTAATAATTTATACAATTATACTCCCAAAATACATATTATCCTCGACAGCGACATCATAGGAAATAATGTCAAATTTAATTTGAATAGCTCATATTTCTAAATAAAATAGCAGTGATCTATAGTTAAAAAGGTCAAAATTTCTTAGCTGCTGGCTCCAGTTTGAATTTTTAGTTACTTTGTTTAGTTTCTCAGTGGTTCCTTTTTAATTTATAGCAAAGCTTCAGTTGGCAAACAGGTCGATGGAATGAGGCACTGAAGCATGCATCAGCGACTCCAAGCACATTTCTGTGCTACAAACTTACAACCGTTCAATTATTTATGCAATGCACATAATGTATTGACAACGAGTTTACCAGGTTGCGAGTACCAGGCAGCATGCATATGTCTTCGAGTATAACACATACAAAGCGATCATGCTTTATTTAAGCGCCAAAACATGATCGTCTCGACCGAAAGGTCATTAAAATTGATTGAATTTATTTTGTTGCATTAAAAGTTCATTCATACGCGCATAAAAGCATGAAGGAAATGGTGTGCGCCAGAGTTTTTGCAGACAATTCAGATTCTTTCCAAGTGCAGGTTTTCAAATAGTTGCAGATGTATACTACAATAGACATAATTCATACTAGCTCGTCTGTACTCCACTCGCAGTTCGTTTAAATTTTGTTTCCAAATCGACATTTAAACGCTTCAGTATGAAATACGCATTCTCAATAAAATTATCTTCTTCTCGAATCTCGAACCTACTTCGGGCAAATTTTTCAAACAATGGCTGAAAATATAACATTTTTCACTGTAACTGTAAGTCAATCTTGTAGCGCCACATGATATCGTAAAAACTTGATATATGGATTTGACCTTGCAACTTTTACAGTCAACGCAAGATTATATTAATTCTTCTAAGCACTTAACTCAATAAATTCAAACTTTGTACACCAGAGACGTTGTTTTAAGTGATGTTTTCGGTAATAATAGATTATTTGGAATATAAATATTCATAAGAGCAATATATAATTGAATAATTTATCTAAGTCCAAAAGTCTCCTAAAATAATGAAAAATAATAAATAAGTAATGCACAATAAAAAATGTATAGTGTGTTCTCTCTAAGTTCTGGCTGAAGCACAACATGTGTATCCATCCAGCTTTTCAGAAAACTTTACCTTCTATTTTCTATTTACCTAATCTTAGTCATTTCTTCTGAGCTCTTCGCAAAATTAATATACATAATTAGGTGATGATGCTAAATGATTGCAAACTATTAGTCCAAATTGATTTTATAATATTTTTGAAACGAGACTATCAGTTAATCAAGGAAATGATTAATAATGGTGATGTGTATATAAACATCTTAAAGCATTAACATATGTAGACTTTTTCATTTCAATGTGCTGAGAACACGTTTATCTTCTATTGTTATCTGAATTTCATAATATACTCTTCGGAATCCTTTGGGATCTTGAAATGTTGTTTAGTATAATTTGGCTGAAACAAGTTGGTTCAATTTTCATATAGATTACTTGTCATGATAATTTGTCATTGACCTCAAGTGTAGATGGGCACAAATCTCAATCTCATATGGACTCATTTCAGCATAGAATATAACGTGAGATGAAATCAAAGCGCCTTTTTCTGTCTTGCTTTAATGAAAATATACCCAATATTAGCTATATACGTTTCGGACGACATATAGAGATGGGGATGATTACCAAATCGTTCCTTCAAATCATCCAAAATTTCCAAAATAAAGTTTCAAGAAATTTAGTCAACGCTCCGTGGTTCATTAGGAATACTGACTTCCATCGAGGAATCTAAAATATTGCTGGCGGGAAATCGTGAATTTTGGTCAAATTTGGAACCAGAAACAAAAATAATAGAGAAATTAGCTGCCATTGTCCAATTCGTTTCAACGATGCAGAAACGAATTACATGCAATTATACGGAAATATAATTTTTTTTAGCATTGCCGATGTTGTTGTTAGACTTCTTCAAAATGCTTCCGACGTTTGAATCATCAAGGAGGAAATAAGCCCTTCTTATAATAAGACCTTATATGACAATTACTATAGCAAATGGTATTTTATGAATATTTACTATTTAAGTATCGCATGCTTGAGAGTGACGAATTTATAAATACTGCATAAAAAATATATAGGTATGTGTATTTACAAAATTTGTCTTTATTGCCAGAGATCCCATGAATACAATTAAGCCAGTAATTTGTTTTTAAAAGAAATTATACCTAAAATTATTGAATGTTTTAAGTTATTAAAGCTTTTTTTACAGACTGATTTCCTATTAATTTAAGCTATCTTATTTTAAAAAAAATTAGTAATGCCTTCAATTATTATGAATTTCTCAAGTCCCTGCTTGGCATCGAAGCTGTGTTACTTTCAGATAAGACATCAGAAGACTGTGTGCGTTTTTCCATGAAACTGAACTGATACCAACGCTCATTCCTACCGAAGTTTTCTCCATCCTCCAACGATGTCGGTAATGTTCTGAAAGCATGTAATATATGATCAATTTTTTAATTGTGCAGGTTTTGCATGAACAAACTTATTAAGTGTCTCCGGTAGCAATAAACACAAAGCTGCTCCCAGTAATGATATGAGTCCTAAAATGATTTCAGGCAGGGGTGAGAAAATATTGCGCGTTAAAAGTATATAGGAACTAAAGAAAGTAAATGCGTATCCCATGACATGTACTACAGCTACACCCTGGCCCCGTACACAGGTTGGAATTAATTCCGTAGCATATTGAGCACCAGAATTATAAGCTACCGTGACACCAAAACGACCAATTATTGATAGTGTGACTACTAAAATTGTATCTAATGACAAAAAATTAATATACAAATACATATTTGCATACTATTTCAAAATTTATTGTATGATTAAAAGTGAAATATATTTACCATGCACATCGGTCACATCGGTTTTAAATAATATTCCTCCAGTTACCGATATAAAAATGCCACTTAGTAAAAGAGAAATTGATGCCATAGCTTTGCGACCTATGCGATCTTGCAGCAATATCAGCAGCACGCAAGCTGGCAGGATTGTTGTAGAGCTCAATGAGAAGAGGATGAAAGGTGAAATGCCTAGTCCCTGTACATTTCTAGAAACTGCATCATAACACAAAGTTATAACCATACTGTAACGTATTTCAGAATACAGAAGGTGTACGATTTTACGATTTTTAATTAATTTTAGACTTACGATTTAAAAAAGAGTATCAATGTATTTTTCCTTAAACGCGGCGTCTTAAGTAAACCCCAAATATTTTCATTTGTCTTGCTATTGAGTTGAGCACGCTTACATTCATTAATAAAGTCCTTATAAACTGACTCTTCTACAACGCGCCCATTAATTTTGGCTACACGTTTGAGACATTCCACTGCTCGCTCGTATTTCTGCTTAGATATTAGCCATTGCACACTCTCTGGTACTACAAAATAAAATAATGGCACCATGGCAAAGGGAACTGAAGTAACAACCAAAAACCCGCGCCAAGTTTTCATTAGTACTGCTATCCATGGGGCCGCCATAGAGCCCAAGCAATAAAAAAGTCCAATACAAATGCTAAGACCAAGAGTGCGCAGTGATGGACGCAAGTATTCCATTACTGAAAAAATCCAATATTTAACATAATCGTATATGTATGTTATGAATATGTTATTTATATATAATGTATGTATAAAACTACATACGTATAATAGATGTTATACTTGTAATATGCTAACATCTTAGTATATATACAATGCAGTGGCTTAAAAATAGTTTTAAGAAGCTTGTAGTAATGATCTGTAAAGGGATAAATATTCTCTACAAGAATGTCAAATACGAATATATCTTAACCCATACTGATGTTCGTCTAAGCTGGTGGAAGACAAATAATTTGTTCATTTCATATACTCGTATATCGATGTTTTTATCATTGTAAATTACTAATTGCCCAGATTCCCTATACAATTAATAGTCACTAGTCTACAAAGTTAGTGTTATGGATAATATAATCAATTTCAAGCCGTACTTACATGACACAACAAATTAGTTAGACCTCATGTACAATACATATAGAAATAATACAATAATCATAAATAAATAACGATTAAAAATTAAAATAAAAATATAATTAATTAATTTAGTTATTCTACAGCTGGTTTATGATTTCGTTCTAATATAAATACAGTGAAAAAATTTTTTAGCAAAATTAACAAAACTCCAGAAAAATGTGCAAACATAAAAGTCAAGTATGTATAGCTTTACTTCAGTTGGTTAAGGTGCGCTGACTCTGAACTTAAAATTTGTCAGGGCATGAGTTCGATTCCTGGTACTTTCAGTCTCAAAAAATATTATTAACATATAATTAAATACAAGTAATATTTCCAAGGCCATGAGTATTTGGCTATATTCGTGCTCAACCAAAAATTCAAAAAATTAAAATAATATAAAAATAATTCTTGTTCTACTATTCGAAACTTCTCTAGTGAATACCAAAGTTTCTGAAAAGTCACAGTAAAAATAGTCATATTGACGTTAAAATTAAATTTAACTATAGTATGTATTATTAGAAAAAATTATCGACTTTGAAGGGTTGATTTAACAGCACTGATTAAATAGCATATATCAAATTGAACTATCGTCTAAGATATTACGTGTTTAGTCTAAGGCTTACCATTTTACAATATTGATGATGCAATATGCAAAACATGCCTTGATTTATTGTTCAAACAAGAGTAATTGGATTATAATTTCCACACCCAATTTCCTTTATTTATTGAGCTCATTTTTTCCTTGGTGAAATTGTCAACAAACAGAATTGTCACAGGTGGGGCATGAAAATCCACAAGTAACTGTCGAAGGATCAATGCATCCATAAAAAGTCACTGTGTGATGTGGCATTTGAGGTTTGTTAGGGTCGTACTTTTTTGAAAATAAGGAATACGTGACACAAATCGTCAATTCAAATCGTTCTGCCGAATTATTGCCAATTTTTTTTTAACTAAAATAGAAGATGTGGATGTATAAGATATTTGCTTTTAACAGAACGGCACACTAGTCTCACAACTCGTCCTGATTTGCTCTTTTTGCGCGAGTAACTTCACAGACGTTTTAGTTCACCATGATCTGAATTGGCCACCAAAGTCATGCGATTTGTTGCCACTAAACTGGATAGGTTATGCAAAGAATCGTGTTTTCGCAGACAATCATCAAACTTTCGACGCTCTGAAAACTAACATCCGTCAAATTATGACGAAGCTATTATTAACTATGTGATAACAAAATATCAGAAACTACTTTAAAAGGTTCAGCGCTTTAAATTGTTCTGTAGAGGGCATTTCAATAATATAGTATTTCCCATCTAATAGCAAGGTCCGAACAATGTATGAAAAAAAAGATTTTTGAAACTCCAATTATAAGTATTTTTTAGTTCCATTTTCTATTGAAATCACAAAATTAATAATAGAATATATATAGCGTTGACTAGCAGTGTGAGATATGAACGGACTGTCACCACTACAAAAGGACGTTTGAGTTTAGATGGTGTGATCAAGCAGAGAATTGAGTTTTGTGAAGTTAAGTCAGATGATTTATAAAATGAAATTCCAATATAAAGTTAAGGTTAATAAGAAATACCCACATATATTTTGTTTAAATTATATTTTATTTATATACATTACCATATTTTTTATTCTGTGATTACATTGCTTAGAAGTAAAGTAGTGCTTGGAACGCATATACCTATGAAAGGTACGCAACTTCTTTTAGCAATGTTCATAGTATTGTTATGGTAAGCTTGTGGTAGATTTATTTTTTTAATCTTATGTCAAACTTAAACAGAGATATTAATATGTTGAAATTAATAAAAAAAAATTCATGATTCATATCGTTTGAATAGTTTTATATATCCTGTTCTAAAATTTAAATCAATTTAACATAATTTCTCTGTTTCACTCTTAACTTTATTCCAACTATATTGCACTCACCTAATATGTACATCATAACAAAATTGCTATCAGTAGCCAATCCCGATATAAAACGAAATAAGCAGAAAAGTGGTAAAGTGGTGCCAAAAATTGTCAAAATATTTCCAGCCATGGCAACTAAGTTCGCTATTATCAATATAGGCATCCGACCTATAAGAGTGGTAGTTTATATGAATACTTTCTATGGTTGACAACAAAATGTACTCACCCCATAAGTCAGCTAAGAACCCAAAAATTAAACTGCCCACCACAGAGCCTACGAAAAACATAGACTGTCCAAGTGTTAATTTCCACGCTGAATCACAAATCCAATTGAGTTCGCTTGTAATGCTTTCGTAGCCCATAAAGTACTCATAGTCAAATTGTTTACACTCTTCGGTAATATTTTCCGAACTAACAAAACTCGCTGGCAGACAACTAGAGTCCGAATCAACACCAGCAAGCGGCTGCGTTCTGAAGTGCTCATCGGTTCCATCAGCGCACCTGGTAATTAATGTAAATAATAATATGATAGATTATTTTATGAATATAGAACCATATGTTCTATGTATTACTCACCAGTAACGAGGCACAAAACTAATTATTGTCTGCGAATAATAGTGCATTGCGGATAGACAATTTATAACGCAGAAGAGTACCAGCATGAGTGCCTGCAGAAAATGGCAATCACCACATTTTTCAAGAATCTTATCGATTTCCAGCATTTCACTGTTTGATCGGCCGTGGTACGAACTTTCTAAGCGCGTTTACAAAACTGTTTTTCTCTGGATTTTATTTACTTTTTAACAGACCTGAGCATCTGGTTCTGTAGAAAAAAATAAAACATTATAATTATTTGCAGTTGTGTGTAGGTGTGTAGTTTGATTAAATTACATGTCGTGCAAATAATTTCTCATTTCCCTGATTGTGCATTTTTAATGCTAAATTCATAAGATAATTCAAGTTTAAATGCGACGAATCCAAAATAAGATACAACGGAACGCTATGTGGATAAGCCTGACCCGTGCACAAACAAAGTAGTACGAATATTTTTCTATTTTAATTGTTATCACTCCAAATATTAAGGGCCACTTCATAATGATTATATTATTTAATATTGAGAATGATTAAAATTTACCTTTTTCTTCGTTTTCTCATTGTTATAAATAATTTTTATTGCACATTTAATTTTATTTCATTTTTAATAACGATTTTCTTAGTTTCATAATTCCCGAACTTGCTCCTAGACTTTGTTTATTAATTAATTTGCTTGATTTTATTATATTGAAAGAAAGCAAAAAATTTTAATTTTTTATCAAAAATTTTGACAGAACAATATAGATTTGGGTTTATTAAAGTTGGACAAAATTATTATATTAATTCTGTTATCCCCACTTTAAGTCCCACGTCAATGGCGCTTTACGCAGACGACACGTGATTGATCTACTCGAATCGGGATGCCATAAATGTAAGCAACACTTTACAGGGAAATATAGGCCTTATGGTAGAATACTTCCAAAATTGGAAGATTAAAATTAATAATGACAAAACCAAGGCTATATTTATAACTCGAAAGAGAAGACAGCGTCCTTTAAGAGTGAGCGTTTGTGACACGGTGATACGGTGGGAGAACAATATAAAATATCTGGGGGTCACTTTTGACAAACAGTTCAATTGGCTTAAACATTTGAAATACAAACGGAATAGCTGCTCTAAGATTCTACATTTATGCTATTTATGCCGCTATTTAATAATTATCACTTCAACTTTATAAACAGAAAGTTACTTTATACGCAAGTAATTAGACCAGCACTACTGTACGGATGTGTTACATATAGCAAAGCCTCAAATACTACCTTAAAGCAATTACAGATAGCACAGAACCTGGCTTTAAGAAGATTGTTTAAGATTCCATGGTATTTCAAATCAACAGACATACATAGAGATCTTAGGATTGACTCAGTGAAAAATATATCAGAGACAGAGTTCTAAAATTATTCACTAAAGTTGATACGCTACTTAACCCCGCCCTAACAATCCTCAAGTCCACTTCTGGACTCTCAGGAAGATATGCTAATTTAAGGTCCGTCATCAACTAAAAGACAAATAAATGATATGATTTCTTAGCCTAGTTAAAGCCTAGTGTGGGGTAGAGATAAGCCCCCCAGCCATTATAGAGTAAAAGTGCGTAATAGCACTAACTCAAGAAGAAGAATCAAGAAGATTAATTCTGTCAAAATGTTTTTAATGCCTAGACGTTTTTATGTTTTTATGCTTTAATGGAATTAATTATTTAAAAATTATGTGAGGTGTATATCAGAAATAATTTCATTCTATCTGTTTCGATCGCCAGCAAGTATTATGATTCTGTTCTTTTTTGCAAATTCCATTGCAGCTCCATTTTTACAATATAACAATTTATTTTGGTATGCTTAATCCACGCTACTTTTTATATTTTATTTCTATTTATATAGGTTCGCAGAACTCTACAGATATCCTGTCCAGGCAACGAAAACGGATAACGTACTCAGTCTATTGATAGAAACTAAATCTACGAGATACATGGGTTGCCATATAAGAACTTTCGTCTGAACAACCCGTTTAAGTTACAGTCATGTGCACGTACGGTAAACCTTCTCATTCTCAATAATTATATTCTAATAAATAGAATTTTCTAAAGTGATTGAATTTTTTTGAGGACATAGAAAATGACTATGATAAAGGTTATTAATTGCATAATGTACCTATGTGATACTATCATTAATTCTTTGACGAATGGACAAATCTATCTACTTTACTAATAGAGTTCTAATAAGTATAAATATATACTTCATAGAAGCATCCATTGATGCCACTACACTGTCTTATAAGCAAGTTGACAAACTAATTATTCTTTTTATACATTATATCATTACATATAGATCTTAATTTTGAAAAAATTTTATGAACTATTTACATATTCAAAAATTGATTTTAAACACACATACTAATCTTCATATATCATATAATATTAAGTTAAATTAGAATAGTTAATATAAATAATATGAATTACGTGGGCTTATAGGTCCGACATTCTGGGACCCCTAACATCCATATATTATTTTATATATACAATAGTGTTGGGTGTAAAGGAATAACTTCATTACTTCATTACTTCATTAACCAAGGATTAAATTTACAAAAATATATGCTACTAGAAATTTATGCCAAATATTATTTAATATATATGTATAGAGTATGCATATAACCAAAAACAGTTACCATTATTTTTCTTTCAAGCACTCGTGTTTATCTTTTTATTTTTTATCTATTTTGTATGTAGAATTCATCGCATTCACCCATATGCTTGTTAAAAAATTCAAAATTTATCTGCAAGATATTTCAAATTTTTTATTTTTGCAGGCACAATTGTCTTATTATCAAAGCAAATATTTTAAGTATAAACAATTTTCTTCTAAATTCACTTGATTAATTTATTTCACAAAACAATAAAAAAAACAAATCCACAAAAATTCACTTTCGTTCGTAAAAGATCAGCAGAAGTTCAAGAACGAAAGCATTTGAACGCTACAAGATCAGGCGACAAACTGTGAGTACCGAAGGCGGAGAAAGCCCGCGAAGCGTGCTGGCGAACGTATTTTTCTTCTTCATTGAGGTTTATAGTTCTGACGGGCTATGCCTTTCTCAATTTAATTGCAATTAAAACAATGAACAATGCATTACGCACCCCATCCGCACGCCTGTGATAACACCGCACACTGTACTTTGTACAGAAGATTATTGTCACTGCAAAAACATTTGGAACAACATTTCCAACATTTAGAACGGATCAGCGGCACTCCATTCAGCATCTCGTGTCGATGGAAATAAATTATAATGCGAACTCAAACACTTTTCACATGTGATAGATCAACTGCAATGAGTCGACGCTTTTCACTATTTTACTCACTACAGATAGACTACAAAACAGATTTTGCTAATAAAATTGATTAATTGACAATTCTCAAGAGCATTTTCAAAAGCAGAGACAAACACAGATAAACCAATTTAGCCAACATTAAATACTAATTACCCTTAATTAGTGGTTTAAACATTTGTTTAAATTTCATTAAACAATTTATTGACATTAACAAATAATTTGTGTGGCCTTCATTTTATTCTAAAAAATATTAATAAAATCCCTCCTTTCGTCCATATTTTACTTCGAATCAAATTTCGTCAAAAATATTGAAGACGACCTTAAGGAAAATGTATTTATTTTGAAATGAATACTATTTCGCTAAAGGGTAGGGGATAATACATATATCTATATAATTGCATTTACCATACTTATTAATAATATCTCATAATTAGAAGAAAACAAATACAAAGTCAATAAATCATGCACCATTGACCGACCAATTGCCTATGTTGTTTCCAGAAGCAAGTTTTTCGACAGCAATAAAATATTTAAATGATATATTTTATCGAAAGCAACCTTATTTTCCATACAATTCATTTTCCATTTATAAGAACTGTATCTCTTGCAGATTTGCCTTCCCCATAGGTTTAACGACAACCTATGTGTCGTAGTAGTATGCAATGTGAATCCGTCGAAACCGCTTTTCTTTTCTTTACATATATACCTCGCATGCTTATTCTTTGAGGAGTTAGTCAAAAGTAATAGATTACTGTTTGCTTATGGAACGGTTTTTAATCTGATTTTCATGTTCGTTACCAATGATTTAAACTTAATTTAGAATGGCACACATTAATCATATTGAAGAACAACACAAAAATAGTATAATTGGGATAGTTAATCAATTAGAACTTATATATAATATACTAAAACAAGAAAAAAATGCATTTCAATCAAATATTTCAATATATCAATGTGACCCATTCGAACGTCATGTTAACCTATAAATGGGCAACAGCTAATTTTGGCAATAAAACAAGCTTTACTGGGAGACCTTGTTAAGACGTCGACATAGATATATGAAATTATGAAAGAATGCAATGTTTTTAAAAATTTAAATAAATCATAGCATTTGATCCCCTAGAATCAATAGTTTTATAGTGTCTTACGAAAAACCGAAGTTATTGTTGAATTTCTATTTATAATTTTGAGAATAAAGTTGATGTTTCAAATACTTAATATAAAAAAGAAGAAACGAAGAATTTTCGAAAAAAAATCAATTCTCTAAACATTATAGTGGCGCTTGTCGTCATATTTGGTATTCCTAAGAAATGATACATTCCACAATAAATTTGATATCTCTTTATCTCTTTTTTTATATTCTCCCCTGTATTCAGTGAAAATTACAAATTTGCCAAGTATTGACAATTCTTCAACAACTGTCAATGTTGTCAATTTGTCAAGGTTTTGGTATTCTGTGCTATAAATAAAAAACTCTTTTCTTGATAAATTGTCAAGTTGGCAAATACACTTGACAAATAATAAAATGCTCTGTAGAACCATTTTTTATTGTTTGGAGATAATAGTCCATTAATATGGAAGACGACTTATTTCTACTATTATTATTGTTAGACAAAAAGGGAAATGACAAAAAAGAATATCACGCGCGGAACTAAAGACATCCACCTTGAAATAATGCTGAACGCCCCCTTGATTTATATTTAAATATGAAGAGGTTCTACAGTATTAATGTCGAAGCAGTAAGTTTTGTAGCCTATGACTAACGCAAATTATAAAAGTCATACTTCAAACATATGTGATCACCGTTTATGTTTTACTTTTCTTAATATAAAATTTTCGAGTGCAACACCTAATTCCGGAATTTGGGCAACTTCCTATCTACGAGAGCATCTCATCCGGTAGTATACTGCCAGGTCTGTAGTACACCGAAGTGGATTCTGACTTATTGGCGATCAAGGTTGCCCTCTGGAGTCCTTGCTTTTAACACCGGTTGACGGTCCAACTGCATAGAAAGGGAATTTCGTGTTTTGAAGCACAAAGTTCCACATTATTCACATGAAACTTCAGCTCCCTAAATTAGTGCTTGCGTTATAATGCATTATATAGTAATGAAAGTGAACATTACAGTGATTGAGATTGATGACGATGTTTCAGAAGAGTCTGACTATGTAGTCCATATTATTGATTCTTTACGGTACACTCGCAAAAGTGACAGAACAGGAAATATGTTTCAACTCTTTGATTTCTGAATTTATAATTACTTATAAAAAATGAATATATGTTAACAATAGTGTTATATGAATATAATAATATATATTAGTATTTATATAAATACTAAGGCATGCTATGAATATCATAACTAGTATATACATCACTTTTGAAATTTATATACAAACACTGTTCACCATAGTGTGGTGAAAATGTTGATTAATTGTCAATACTTGACAAATTTGTCAAGATCACAGAATAGGTGGGTTTATATATATAAAATATATTTTTTAATTTTAATTAATACTTTGTTTTAATACTTATTTTAATTTCTTATTTTAAATATTTGAAACATCACTTTGATTCTCAAAATTTAGAAACTCAACTCAAACTCAGTTTTTGGTAAGTAACTAGAAAAGTATTAGTTCTAGTGAATGCTATGATTTATATTGTTCGTAGAAATAAAAATCTCTCTAAAGCTCCAATATTTTGTTAAATCGAACTATCGTTGGAATATGATTGTCTGGATTGTCGACAGCATAATATACTTGATATTTTTTGACCATCTACCTTACTTTTTTCAACGGTGATGGTATTAAAATATCACTTCAACTTGGAAAGCATTCGCAGTTCGATTTGCTTCATTGTTATTAGGAAAAAAGTTTGCAAGGGGATATTTTACTGTTAATAATTATGTATTAATAAAACTTTAATAAAAACTCAATGTAATTCTTTTACTAATATATATACATAGATATGCTCGCAAATCAATACAAAAGAACACATAGGTAAGTATATGCTTATTAAGGAGCACTAATTCTAAAATTATTAAATTAAAATTTATTTTCAATCAAAATTATTCTCTTTTATCTGTCTCAATTTTTTAATAGCCACATAACGTGACCCTAACCTAATTCAGATTTTTAAAAATATATACTCTACTCATTCTTTGAAAAATTAAAAATAAAGCCTTTCTATAAGCTTTATTAATCACTTATCAAGTATTTGTAACACTAGACCTTGTTTTTCTGCTTAGAATCTATCGATACTATCGATACCAAAATGATCACTATTCCACAAGAATTTTGAGTACGTATAACAACCAACTGTTTTAAAATGATTATTTAGCTATACTTTTTGCTTAGAGAACACATACCTACATAACATCATATCTTCTTTTATTTATAATAAAAATATTCATTTTTATTAGTCTAACGGTAGACATTATTAGAAACAAGAATTTTTCGTCTTATTGAGGTCACTCTAGAAAACTTAGAAAATGAAACAATGTTTATATTAGTAGTTACGTATTTGATTCTTAACACTAATATTTGAAAAGTTCTAAAAACTTTGATTGGTGGCCTTTGGTGCTCTTCAAGGTTTAAGAAGAAATAAAAGTTGTTTGTTCGTCACTTTATATTGTAAATTAACGAAATTCAAAACAATCTTAAACTTTTAAGTATTACCCTAATGTTTTGATAAGAATACAAAATGCAAGATAAGAATCTAAAGCATATATATGTCGGCTAAAAGCGACATTATTTATGAATAAACTATCTTTGCAGCATATTTGCAGAGGTATTATGAAAATCAGTTACCATCAGTTACCAAATAAACTTTCTCGAACATCAACATAATCACATCATTACCTACTGAACCGCTGCCCTGGTTCTTTCTTTGGGCAGCACGGTTAAATCTAATCTGAATCTTTGAACTTAGCTGGTATCAATTACCAATAGCTTTCCAAGATTATAAATTCCTACTCCTGTGACTTGTTTTCTAATAAATCAAAGCAAGCAAACAAATAATCTCTGTATCAGTCTAAATTAATTCTGTTTATTAACGATAATGTTCCTTTGTAGTCTAGCTAAGACTGTGCTTGTAGTCTTACATGTTGCAAGATTTTTCAATCTAATATGCTGTTTGGAAATGTTTTATATTAACTTTATAAACCATATTAAATGAAGTGAATGCCAGTTCTATACGCCCATTTATCGGCTATTTCGTTTCTCTATAAAGAAAAATTATACGAGTAGAATACGAGAAACATCCTACATGCTTCTTCCACTGCAATGTCTTCTGCCTAAGAAACACTAAACCATTTGGAAAATCGCACAAAATTTTAAATACTTAACCACTCCGAGTATATACCTGCTCTGACACCTTGATCCATTTTGGAACCATCCATGAAGATTCAGTTCCGAAACGTTTAACAAAGATCCAGTTGTATACTCCTTTTTTAAGGGTAAAACCGTAGTAAAATTCTTGTTAAATGTCACTCTCGGAATGTTGTAATCAGGTGCTTTGGAAAGGTGATGTAAAATATGTACAATCTTAAATTATTTCCTTCTAAAATGTTTTGAAGATTAACTTTGGACACCTAACCATACAAAAAGCGTTTATACAAAATAAACAGTATTTTAGAAAACCGAATCCAACTTTTATTTTAAAATCGTTAGAAGTCTTATGTCAGTTCATATTGCCTTCAGTACTACGTAATCTTCACTGTATTATACATTTTTTAATCTATATTGTAGCCCTCGCATAAGTTATTACGTTGAATACATACCTAACAAACCTATAATTTAATATGTAGTTATAAGCTTTTTCCTATATGAAACCATTTTACAAGAAGAGACTACATTAAATTCTAATACATAAATAGCATTTTTAACATTTACTAAATCAAACTAGTTCTTAGATGGCAATAGTGTCTATGTTTCGACAATACCAACGGTAACGTGTGTCCTTCTTTTATCTTATCTTCACAAAGAGTGGTATCATAAAAGTATCCAAATAGTCTCTTAAATCTTAATTCCCATATTTTATTATAATATAAATTTTCTTAAGACACGTTATTTATTTACTTATGCTTTCGAAAATAGCATAACTTAAAACCTTGCCAACCTTCCTTAAAACTGCAATCTACAATAGATAAAAACAATTATATGTTTGTGTTCGAAATTCATATACCATAGTAGATAGCAGACAGTAGATATATAATTCAGATAATAGAGATAATTGCAAATAATTGTAGTTGCTACGTGGTTGTCAAAGATTGGACTCCGGTAAGGTTATTTTCCAAATAAAATAGATTGGCGACTTAATAAATTCATCAAGAAATCAAATAAATATAAAAAGGGAATAAATTATTACAATTTTAAATGTTTTAAGAACCAGGTATAGCTCTTACTAAATGAATATTTTTATTAGTTTGGATACTGTATGCAATAGTGTACAGTATTGATATATTCTCCGCCAGTAAAGCAGTTACTTATGTTGTATTACGGATATTGCCTTGCTAGATATAACAAATGCTGTGAACAATTCCTTAACCCATAAATGAAAAGAGCCACAACTTCCTTATTTGAATTAAAATAATGATATCAATTTTAACAGAAACTGCAACTAATCGAGATCACACGTTAGCACCACAAAACCTTACTTTTTTTTCAAATGTGTTGGAAACGATAATTCGAGCAGCAGATTTAAACCGCACTGGCACAATATTCCACAAAAGTGTAATGCTGCTGGCGTATGCCGATGATATTGATATCATTGGCCTGAACACCCGCGCCGTCAGTGCGACATGCTCCAATTTAACAACACAAGCGAAGCATATGGGTCTCGTGGTCAACGTGGACAAAACAAGTACTTTCTGCCGACAAACAAATCTCCTGAGCGTCTCGGGACTCATGTCACAGTTGACAATTATAAGTTTGAAGTTGTGAAAAATTTTGTTAATTTAGACGAAGAACCACTTTGAAAAACTTTATTTATTTGAACAAAGTGATTCTTTGTTGCCAACAGATGTCACTTCAGCTATACCGCGACATTGACATAGTTAACCCCTTAAAATTCAGCGTCTTTGCTGGCTTGGTCATGTCGTGCAAATGGAAGGCTTGTCGTGCCCGCAGGTGAAAAACGCGGTGGAGGACGTCCGTATCTTCGGTGGAAGAACCAAGTGACCAACGATTTGGAGGCGCTCGATACTACCAACTGGCGACAGTAAGCAACTAATCGGGCTGGATGGTGGAGGTTACTCGACGCGGTCAAGAACGACTCACGTCTGTAATGGCCAAGTAAGTAAGTAAGTAAGTATATTGTAGCTTAACAAATTTTAGACACATGCTTCTAAACTAAAATTGAAGGCGCTCAGATTGTTTACTAACTTTATTACATTTTGACAAGTTCAGAGACAAATGAGTTTATATAAAGTATATGCATACAATATAGGTATATAAATTATTTTAACAATATTTGAGGAGATTAGCTTTATTGCCGATTATGGTGATAATGGTGAATACTATGCAAACAAGATCACACAATCAACATTTTTATGATGTTTCTATATGGAAAATGAGCTCAGAACTCAGACACTCACTCCACTGAGAAATACTTTTATTGTATATGACTTCATGATGTCTTACGTACATTTTTGCAGAAGTATTTTATATGAGGATAAACGAGATAATTTCGTGAAAATTAATAAAACAATTTAATTTTATGTTAGTGTGGTAAATCAATGCTTATCTAAAATATTTTCCATCTTAAAAATGCAATTGCAATATTCAGTAGCTTTTAGGTTTTAAACATAAACAAATGTAATCGGTAGTCGGAGAAACGGTGATCTTTTATCAAAACGTTAGTTATTGTCAACTAAATGTAAGAACAGGAAAACATCTTCAATGGATTTCGACACCATATTGGAAAAATGTGGAAATTTCGGACGTTATCAATTTGTGTTGCTCATGCTCTATGGCTATACTAACATATTATCATCATTCCACTACTTTGCACAGACAATAATAAGCTTCACACCGGAACACTGGTAAAAGACTTGATTTTGATTAAATATGGAAAAATTTCCTTGAATATCTTCTGTGTGCTCGTATCCTAAAAACAGGTGCTATCATCCAAAACTAGAAAATTTAACGTTTAGCGAATTGCGCTCAATACATGAGAGTTCACCTAATCCTGCTTGCAATTTAGTAAGTGATGTGGTAAATGGCGTAGCAGTCTTGGCGGAGGAAGGTGTTTGCACCGAATGGATATTTCAATACGAAAGTGGTTACCGCAGTATTACAACTGAAGTGAGTGTAGGGACTGACTAAATTTAAAAGATAAAGAAAGTAAAAACAAAGTGAATTGAAGTAATTTACAATTTTTAAAAACTAAAAAAAATACATATTCATATACTTATGCATATTGCTCGTCTATGCTATGTTACCTGTAATATTTCTTCCATAACTTGCAATTTCAGCTTAAATGGGTGTGCAATGATGCGGTGAAAGCAGCAATTGGTCAATCTTTTTTCTTCATCGGTTCGGTCCTGGGCACCATTTTTTTCGGCTTTCTGGCAGACAAGATCGGTAGATTGCCCGCTTTACTCATCAGTACTTTAATTGGTGCTACAGGGGATTTTATTACATCTTTTGTCTACTCTTTACCTGCATTTGCTGTCGGCCGCTTTATATCGGGCATATCAACGGATACAATATTCTTTCTTATGTATATTATAGGTGAATACTACACATATACACACTATGCAAGCTGCTACATAATGTGCATGTACGTTTATGTTGTTTTTTATTTAGTGTTTGAATATCTCAATCAGAAAAAGCGGACATTCGGTCTTAACATTATCACTGGATTTTTCTATTGTTTCGGTTTAATACTTTCGCCCTGGTATGCAATATGGGTGGGCAGCTGGCGTTATTATTTACTAATCGCTTCATTGCCAGCTATATTGGTGCTTGTCTATCCTCTGTTTATATGCGAAAGTGCTCAATGGTTAATCACTAAACAAAATTACGAGGGTGCAGTACGTTGCCTTAAACGTGTCGCTAAATTTAACAAGCGAACCGTTCCCGAAGAGGTCTTCACGGAATTCGTTCATCATTATGAAGAAAAATTTGCAGCTGAAAAAAAACTGAACAAAACGAAGGACAATTTCTTGGGTATGCTGCGTACGCCACGCCTACGGAAATTTACTATAATACTACTCATAAAATCGTAAGTGAGATTAGCTTTTTAAGATTAATAAGAATATGCGTATAAAGTTAGATTTCCTTCTCAGCATGATTGTAACTTTAACTTTTGACATTTTAAGTCGTAACATGGAGGGTCTAGGCACATCACCATTCATGCTATTCTCCTTCACTTCTATTGTTTACATTCCCGGTGGCCTTACCATAATATTTCTACAAAATATTATTGGTCGCAAGGGCATGGCGTGTAGTTGCCTCTTTGTTAGTGCCATCATAACAGCTGTAACTGGCTTTCTAATCGCATTTTTGGACCGACAGAATAATGCTCTATTGCTAGCTATTATGGTCGGCTTAGGGCGCTACGGTGCTATTGTCGCTTACGATGCTGAAGCACAGTATGCTGCAGAAATTATACCAACAACCGTGCGTGGTCAAGGCGTTTCAAACATACATGTTGTAGGCTATGCTTTTAGTTTCTTGAGTTCATATATAATCTACTTAGGCACCTTTTACAAACCGTTGCCATCAATTTTTATTAGCATTATTCTGTTTTTCGGTGCTGGATTATGTTTGGCATTACCGGAAACATTGCATAAGTAAGTCGCTGATTTGAATATTAAGTAATCTTAAAATTAAAATATTTTTTTTTAGAAAATTACCTGAAACTTTAAAGGATGGAGAACAGTTTGGTATTAATGAAAAATGGTATTACTTTCCGTGTTTTGATAGGAAGAATCGTTTACAAAAAAATCAGAAAATTTCTGATATTAAATAAATTATTTTTGTGTAATATGAAAATCAATAATATTATCACGATTTTATTAAAAGAAATAAAAAAAGAGATTACCAGAAAAAATTATTGAGTTAAGCAATTAGTGACGTGTATTGCTAAATTTATTGCGAAGATTCATAATTAGACTTTTTAAATTCTCTGATAATTTTTTTATTTTACTATTAACAATCTACACTCATTCAGCACTGCTAACTTCATATTTATATCATTATATCATACGTATTTTTTTCAAATAACATATTACTGTCAAATATGAAGACATTGAACGACAACACATCATTTCGGAACAAAATCAGTTTAAATTTTTTGTTTTTGATTATTTCATTGATGGAAGTCATTTTTTTAGATCATCGAACAGTAATTCAACAAATACGTTTTTGAATTAAATTTTTAACATCAATTAAACGGAAGAAAATTTGGTACTACTGGAATATTGTACCACATATACTTCTAATAGCTAGAACTGAATATAAACCTAGTTCGAGGAATAAAACTCCATTTCTGGCACTGTATTATCTGCAGTTCCAGACTCTTCAGAATCTGGTAATTGCAATAACAGTCATACAGTTTGGAATATAATATTGTAAGAAGCCCCTTATCCAAGTGGTCATAGTCCCCGATTTATTTACAAATGGCGATTTCATAATATATGTCCAAGGCTTGTTTTATATTTGAAGGAACCACTCGAATCTACTATATAGTGATAGTACTAATGTTAATTAAAATGAATTAGTCCCGAATTTTAATCATTAAAGGATTAAGCTAATGTTGAAGGTTTATCAAAACTGGTGGAAAAGAGATATTTAAATGCTTGCTACAGCTAATATAATCGGAGAAAGCACATTTTTAAAAACCACGTTAACTTGCAGCAATGTGTCTAATAAGTCGCCATCTGACATCTCTAAAACTAAATGTCGATTTTTACGTGCACCAAAATATAGCCACGCTTTGATAGTTAGTTGTCACGCATAAACATATCTATCACCAAGACGTGCTCCAACTCGAACTAAATCCGAAATCACTCCCCACACTTTCATCATTATCTTTTATTATCCTTCACATAATCCTTCACATTGATCTCTATTTTCTTTCGATCCCACCTCATTGTTTACATTGTAATCCATTCATGAAGTTATTTTAACGATTCAAGTATGACAACAATATTATGTCCAACTACGCCACGACTAAGCAATCATTGAAGTTTTAGAATTTTCTATAATTATGCTAACTTTTACTAATAATAATTTACTAACAAATAAAATTATATTTATATAAGATTAGATATATGAAACGAGGTTCTATTGAATACATCGTTGAAATTGGGGTATGAATTATAGGACCAGCTAATAAATAAACATCGAATCACTGTTTGCTTTGAATAACTTCAATTGGTAGGAGATATGCCTACAACCTCACTACAATGGTGTTTGACTTCCTCAATGAATATTTTCCTTATCATTGCTAAGTACAGTCTAGTATATGGGATATCTTATACGTGTTCTTTATAGACATAATAAAATACTTTTACGTCATATAATAGTATTTTTTATCTTGTAATATAATTTTGTAACTTGCATATCGCTAAGAATTATATTTTGTAAATTTTGAACTTAAACTCGTATTCAAAGTTTTATTTCAACTGATTACAACATTTATAAAAATGTACGGAACAATATATTTGTTATGTTTACACACATAATGGACTATATAAATTATATTAACATAATTAGCATTGGCAGTAGGGTTTCTGTAAAATCGTATATAAATCAAGTGCTTAACAATTCTCTATAAATTAATATGTTATTATGTACTATTAGTGCAATATATACACAAATACATATATAAGTTTTATGTGAAGTATAAAAGTATACTTTATAAATAAAATTCCTTAAAAACTACTTATGTACTAAATAAGAGGACCTGCCAAGTTCAATATTTATTTGTTTGACTAGCAAACAACTTAACACCTGAGTCTTTTATAAGCTAAATATTACCTACGGACTGTCTATCGCATGCAGACTACCTAACTAAGTTTATCAAAATTAAACTAACTTAAACCGCAAATTACGAAAACAATTTCAGTTGGTTTCTCAGCTCTCGCACCGATTGCTGTTGGAATCTGTAGTGAAATTTTCAATTATTGCCAAAGAACCTTTTCTCTTATACGCTTCCATTTTGGTGTCGCTATCAGCTTCGTCATCATCATCCTTTGAACAGCATGGAAAGCTGAATATCCGTTCACCTTTACCAAATACCTCACCTTCTTCTATTGTACAGGGCAAAGCTCTATTAAAATATAAATATAAATTGTTTTTGTATTCAGTAGTACCAATATAGACAAAAAAAACCTGACTTACTTATTTAAGGTTTCCGGCAACAATAAGCACACAAAAGAGCCACAGAAAAATAATACTCCTAAAATAATTGACGGCGCCGGTTTAAAGAAATGACCCAAATACAATATGTAAGGTGCTAAAAATGAAGCAGCGAATCCCGCTACATGAACTGCCGCCACACCTTGGCCACGTACACACGTAGGTATTAGCTCTGTGGCGTATTGTGACCCCGATTCATATGAAATGGAAACTCCAAAACGTGCAGCTATGGTTAAAGATGCTAAAAGTATGGCATTATGTGAATGCTGTTCGTACGCTATAGCAATACCGGCGGCAGCTGTAAAGAATCCACCTACTAGTAGAGACCCTGCAGCCATACCTTTACGACCAATGCGATCTTGTAAGAGTATAAGTAGCACACTGGCAGGTAACACTGAACATGCACTGAGCGAGAACATCACAAACGGTGACACACCCATGCCTTCCACATTACGCGATACAACATCATAGCAAAGCGTTATAACCATTCTAAAAAATTTAATTTATTAAATTCTCATTAAACACTATCGTATTTAACGGTTAAATTATAAAAACTGATACTAACGACTTAAAAAATAATATCAATGTATGTTTACGCATTCTTGGAGTTCGGAACATGTCGATTAAATTAGCATGCTTCTGCACCTCTCCTTCCTTCTTTTGTTGTTGTTTTTCGCAATGCTTGCGAAATTCTTCAAATTCTTCATCTTTGACAATGCGACCATTAAATTTGGCAACACGTTTCAAACGTTTAATAGCGCCATCTATATCATGACGTGTAACTAGCCATTGTGCACTCTCTTGCACCATAAAATAATACATGGCAATAAAGAGTATTGGTAGTGAAGTACACGTTAAATAGTATTGCCAATGACCAACTAAAACAGCCAACCAAGGCGTGAATACTAGACCAACGCAATAAAAAATCCCAACTACCATATTAATGCCTAGTGTCCGCATAGAAGGTCGCATGTATTCAAGCACTAACATTTAAATATATATAAAATTTATTAATATATATAATTCAAGTCTATCTACGTCAAAATTGAAGTATATGCCATATAGAATATTACCTATAATATACATCAAGTAAAAATTGGTGTCCGCTGCTAAACCAGAAACGAAGCGACATAATGTGAAAGTGGTGACACTTTTAGTAAATATTGTAGAAAAATCTCCAATGAAACCAGATAAATTAGATAATATCAATGCCGGCAAACGTCCAATTTTATCGGAAAGCAAACCATAGAAAAGCGTACCTACAACAGATCCAATAAAAAACAAAGACTGGCCGACACGAGCCTTGTACGCCGATTCACAAACCCAATTCAACTAGAAGAAAGAAAAGTTCTGTTAAATGGAACGGCACAGACCAAAAATTTATAATCAAGTCATTTGTGCTATGACGATTTGTGTTATACGAGCATAACTCTACTCACCTCTGTATTCATACTTTTATAGCCATAATCGTATTTATAAATCCAGCGCTCACATTTCTCCTTGCTATACGTAATATTAGCTCCATTAATATCCTGTAACCGTGTGCAAAATGGACGCTTAGCTTTTGAATAAATTGCAGCTATTTCCTCATAGGTCTTGTTCTCTAATTTTTCATGATAGCACCAATGATCTGGTACAAAGCTTATAACAGTTTGTGTAAAATAATGCATTGACACAATAATGTTGATTAACCCAAAGAGGCTTAGTATCATAAGCTGGTACCTATTCCAGTCACCACATTTGGCAAGAATTTGATCGAAATCCATATTTCACGAAGGAGCAATCTATCTGTATTTTTAACAGATGTTTTAGGCTAGTTTTCGCTTTTATGATGGTAGTTAAATCTATTATTAGAGTAGTAGTATATATTGTTGTAGTAGTGATAGCACTGATATATTTTATAACTCGAAGTGAGAAGAAATCGTTGTTTGTTTTGCTTTTTTGCGCTTTAAGGTAACCCAATTTGCTTTAATTATGCAATGACAAGCTAAAATAGAAAAATTAACAAAAATACAAAAATTAAATGTTAATTAAATATTGGTTTATATTTGTTTATTAAATTGAAGAAAAGAATAATTATCACTATTATTTCTTAATTATTTGAAAAACTTTATTTCGTCTTCTTCTTATAACAATTATACCCATATACGGGTATATACATAAGTTGGAACAGATATTCGAGTATTCTGTTCCTAAACTCTACAGAAAAAGAGCTTAACATGGCTTTGGAAACATCAAAATTTATATATATATATATATATATATATATATACATTCATCCATTGCGTACCTTTATTTCACTTAATTATAATTTTATTCTTATTTTATTTTTTTTAGGAAATATAGAGTTATTGAGTATCTACATTTGAAATAGTCAAAAAATCTTTATCCACGAAACATATTTGTTAAATTTACTTAGCTGAATTAAACAAGAAATATAAAAATTGGATGCAACACGGTATTAATTTAACAATCATGATTTTATTATTAGGACAATTATATATACAAAAGTCAAATGATTGATTTGAAACGGTCATGCATAAATAGTGTGATCATAAAGATGTTATATCAAGATGTTATATCAATTATCAAAACTATTAAATAATATCTAGATATTTACGAATATCTAGGTATATATATATTCTATGTGGATATATATATCTAGTGTAAAGTGTAAAGTGTGTACTATACTTATATCTGATGATTAAACAATATTCTACCCCATTTCACACCTTATTACTTCTAAATGTATCCGATTGCTTTGGAAAACTCTTAAAATAGTTCATTATGGAGTTCATTATGGAATGCGAACATTATAAGTTTTTGATGTTTTCAAAACTGACTTTATCAAATTTTAGTCTCAGAAACTAGATATCCCTCTAACGAATTAGGTTTGAATAGTGTGATGCAGTTCACTCTCAACTACTATTATCTGATGAGCAGCAATTTCCTTTGTGTAATTATCTAACTGAATGTTCACACAGTGCGATACTGAATTATCTTATTGGATTTTTCAATCATGTTAGGTTACAACCCGTTTTCTCCCTCATCTTATGGTGAGTTGAGATACTACTAACATTTTTGCAGTAGTGTTAGTAGACATTTATTACTTCATTCATCAAGTCTTATAAAACAGCTGTTAATTTCGCGGTAACCTTGCTGCTCTCGCAAAATATCTAATATGTTATAAATTAATCTTAAATATTATAAATTTCGAAAATGAAAATTACACTAAAAGTGAATTTCGATTGAAAATTTGGCACCCCAGATTCACCAATCGAAAGCAGCTTAGCCTCTAGCAAAACAGTTTAATGTTCAAAAATTCATGTTTTCAAGAGTAAATAAATATATTTTTATTTATTTAAAAGATATGAATGTCGTGTCTTCAGTCAGCTTATTACGAATAAATAAATAAATGAGCATTTCTCCATCACAGCATTTCCCAAACTTCCCTTATTTTCTGTCAAAACGAGGGAGTATTTGTTGCATCCAACTGACTCATAGAAGCTCAATAAAGGATTGACTGCCAGCGAAGAGAGATATTAATATATTTGGCTTAGTAATATAAAGAGGCTAGCATTTTCTGTCATAATTTTTAGTTTCTAAAAACACACTATATTCAATAATACTATTATAAATACTATTATATATTTAAGATAGAGCTGGAAACTAAAAAGTTAAAATAAAAACTGTGTGTTGTGTCTGATACCCTAAATTTAAGCTTCTAATAATTTATTTTGTCTTGTCTACCTTTCTGAGATAAAGTGTGAATTAATACATTTATATATTGGAATAGATTTTGGAAATGGTTTCCCTATCTAAGAAAAGTAAAATTGATGGTATTATGTCCGAAAAAACATTTTGAAATTTCTCGAAATTAGAATTTGAGATGTTGAATTTTTTTTTCGGTTACTAACTTTGTCTCCATATATTTCAGTTAATATTATAAATAAATTATCTTCGTGATTTGCATGTAATTATTATAACTATAAACAAAGTCGGTTGATTTGAATAAAACTGCTATAAAATCGTAAAAATTTAAATTCATGTTCTTTAATGAAAAACCTTTTATATTTTCTAGTATTATTTTAGCATATTTAGTTGGTGAGAATATTATCATGTTGTTGTTTGTCTATTAAATAGACTAAAGTCTAGATAAGCTTTTGAATTTAAGTTTTTAAACTAAAACTTAAGTTAAAATATTAGTAATTTCTCAATAACTCTGAGAGCGAAAGATATTTTAGCTTCAGCAAACCCGAAATTGACTTTTTAATTTTTATTGCATTGTAAATACTAAATGCTATGCTTTCGTTATATCAGATATAATATAATGATAATTATCTCATAGCTAATACAAGATATTTTTATTTAATATTAGCTTCGGGGATTCCGGTCTTTAAAATTATACAGTAATATATAGTATGTTATGCTTCATTATTGGTATTGATAGCTTCAATATATCATTGTAAATATCGAGTAATTTTAGAAGAATTTTTTTTATATAAATAAATAATAGTATTAGTATCTTTTTTTTTTGAAGAAATTATTAACCTCCTCTAATTAAAATCTTTATTGAACCAAATTTGGTTCTGGTAAGATATTAAAAAAAATCTTAAAAAATTTTTGTATTAATGATTTCAGCTTAATCGTCCTGAATATCTTTTATACATGTCAATTTTGATTATTACAGAATAATATCTTCAATAACATAAATATTTAAATAATTAAAAGATATACATCCATTATCTCGATTTTTTTCATAATACTATAGGTTTTTAATACAAAATTAAATTTTCATTTACCTCTGGAATTTTCTGAATGGCAAGTTTCAAAAAAAAGTTTTTTATTTTTAAATTAAAAGTTTTTTGAAAGCAATTTAATGCCACATTATTTTTATAAAATTATTTCAATTAATTTGATTTTTTTCAATGATTTTTTTTAAGGATTTTTATATCCTTTCAACACTTTGCACCACAGCCGCACAAATCTTCCCTTTGATATTCCATCTTCGTTTTTAATTATTTTTTTGTTTTTCCATGAAATAATCACACTTGACCTTAAAAGTCCATAATTACATAATTTCATATGAAAACTAATATAAGAAATTTACAAAATTTGTTGAATCAAAATGTTTTTTGATATATTATTTTTAAACAGAAATCGTTCTAAGATGATTAGCTATTCAAGAGCTTCTGACCGTAGGATTTGAAATCTTCGAAGAAACTGAAATTGGAATGCGTGAAATTTCACATTTTGACGGAAAAGCCGTCAAAGGTGTTAAAATGTTTAAACCAGTTTAGATATTTTATTATTTATTTATAGTTAAAAACGAAAACAGAAAAAAATTTATATTTGATAAAATATAACATTTATTTGCAAAATGATTGCGATTCGATGAAAAAGGAGCAATAATTACGCTAATTAATTATCCAAGCAAAATAAATAGTAAACTGACGACGGTTTGTTGTAGGACAAATTATTACACACTTTTATATAAAAACTATACTATTTTTATTTTTGTGTATACAATAAACTAAAATTAAGATCAGCACCCAAAATATTTTATGTTTACTTCAGAGTGCTACAGAAACATAGTAAATGGCGTCGATTGAATCCGTAAACGGGCATTGTGTCACATCTATGATCCACTAATTAGGTAAGCACTTAATGCAAATTGGTAAATGAATGATGACAATAATTTAGGGCGAATTTAGTGCGATTTATTGTGAGGTTGGAAGGCTTTTCAAAACATCATTAAACACAGATGTTCCAAAATATCTCTTTTTGGTACAATACAAAACAAAATTCGGAATTGAGAAATGAAATATGAGAATATGTGAGCAGAATAACTCCATCTTTAAAATTTTATACACTGTGTCATAACTTAATTAAATAATCAATTTTGCTAATATTGATTCTTCTGTATCAATAAAAAGAGTATTAATAACAACATATTTTTAATAAAACTTTATAAATAATAAAAATAAATTTCTCTTTAATAAAACTAAGAACACTCTATTTGAAACAAAATCATTTTGCAATTTTAAATGTTGAACTCAATCCCCAAACCATATTCATCTTCTTTGCCATCTGTGTTTACACTTAATAAGTATCTTCAATATATCTACGAGTATCGTAGTTTAGATATATATATAACCCAGTGCATTTTATTAACGAACTTCCGTTTGCTGGAATTAACAATTTCGCACTTATCAAAATTGAGCATTTTTATCACTTCAGTTCAATATTCATTATTTCTTAATTAACATATTGAAAAAAAATAATTATCGTTTTAAATCCCATTTTGTTATTAAAAAAAATTTAATACATTGAATGACTCAAACCAATTTAGATAGTTACTAAACCGAAAATTAGTCTTAGGAATATTTAACGAAGTAAATTCATCAGCAATCATGACTATCCCACTTCAAGAAAGTAAATCGTAATGGAAATAATAATTCAAAAAATGGAACAATAATTATAATTGACTGTTTTATACTCATAGAGTTAAAGATATTACCAGTACCCATTTCCGATCCCGAATAGATGATATACCCACAGTCACCCTTAAAAAATTTCCATGGTATCACGAAGAGTTTGTCTTTCATGAGACGGCTTTCTACTATCTATCCATTTACTATATTTTTATCTAAATATTAATAATGTGTAAAGTTAACTTAATATTTATTTAAAATTTATTTATATTTCTTACTCACAATGTTCATTTCAAATCAGTCACAGTGATTTTTGTATATAAAACCACTGCGATACAAGCGAAATTTTACTATTTCTACTTTCAAGTGCTTATTAAATCACTTCGTTGATTCTAGGTAAATCCCCAGCACTCACTTGAGAATGGTATTCAATATATTAAAATATGTTTTGCAATTTACCCACACTTTGAAAGTATTTGTCGAAATCGGGTTAAGAAGCACTCCACTTAATTCTCTAAAATTGTTGTTTATTTAAATTTTAATGATTCAGTGAAATTAAAAAAAATTCATTTATAAAGCGATATAGAGTGAAACTAATAATTATAATAATTTTCAAAAATAAAAAACATTTATATTATAGATGTGGAGTTTCAATCAATAGCAGCAATTTCTGTTGACTCGACAATTATCTTGATGTTATATTGCAAACACTAAACTTCTCTCTATGAGTGGATCCTTAAAACTTAAGCAAGATTTTGACAAGACTACCTACTAAAATCAAGACTAGTACAGCGCTAATAAGAGGTAACATAAACACAATCAATCAAAAATAGAACAGGATGAATTGGACAATAGGAAGAGAATGGGAAAAAAAGAGGAATAAAATTGGAAAAAACTACTGGCGGAATTAATTGATTTGAATTACCAACTAAAAATTAAATCGTAATTCAATTTAGTTAAATTTAATTCCGACGTAGATTTCAAAACAAAACTGTTTATTTAAAAAATTAATGAGTAAGAAAATATGATAATATATGGATTTTAAAGATGTGATGAGACTCAAATTCGTTTTAGAAAATGATTATAGACATATCACGATGTTTGTTAATCAACAAGAAAAACAGCCTTCATGTCACTTGACTAGAATCTGTAAGGTTTAGCAGTTAACGAATAGGTATTCTTGAAAATATATATTTTATTGCCCCATTTATTAATGTTGTGTTACTCTATACTACATCGATTTTTACTTACATTTCCTAGAAAATGTCCAGTCAAAATAAAACTCATACACTTAAAGCGCTAAAAAATAATTAATGGCATCTTTAACAATGCAATTCTGGAAATATTTTTTATTTAATTAATAATTTAACTCAATGTTTTTCTGTTTAATTTTGATATAATTTCAAATTCCACAAGTTATTAACGAAACTGTTATCTGTTGTATCACTCTTGCAATAAACTAATTTATTTATTAAAAATCCCGAAAATTATTTTTAGTAATTCTGTCATTAAATGCTTTTATAAACTGAGAAGTCGTACTGAAAGCAGCAACTCATATTTGAAACAAAACATCAAACTCAGGCTTAAGCCCCATCGAACCACATGACCCGAACCAGTTTATTTTGACTTACAATTTCGAAGCATATCAAAGCGTCAACAAGAAGAAATCACCGGCATTATAATGGCTACAAAAACAATCACAAAAAAACAAAAAACAGAAAAACCAACATTTTTATAAAAAAGCTAGACAATCTTAAGCTCAGATTAATAATCAATACAACTAATAATGTTTATGATGGCTTTTGAATTTATCACGCGACATGCATTTGCTTGACTTTATAATATTATGATTATTTTAATATTAACGACAAAAAAAACAACAACAAAAAATCGCTGTGAAACCGCTAGAAACCGCAAGAAACACGTCGCTAAGATGCATGTCAGTTTAATTAAGCTAAGTTTAATATTTTTAGACGCCAGCGATTTTTAGGTTCTAAAATTTATGAAATCTACACTACATATATACACATATGCATACATATGTATGTAGTTCTGATTATAAAACGATTATCAAGAACAATATAAAAAGGAGTGCATTCTATTCAGTCATGACATACGTATTAATTCGTTAGATCGCTGTTAGTGAGAAAGTACAATAGATAATGCAATAATTTTATTTCCAAAAATAACAAAAATAAATAATTTATATTAATTATACATATGTATGTTGTATAAAACTTACGCTCAGAGTAACTCCTGCTACGCTTGGTCATTAAGAAAGTTTATCAATATTTGGTGTTGGTCACGTACTCACAAGGTTTTAACATTTGGTTTTTATTGCTTTTATGTACGACTAAATAAAGCGAGGGATCCAAAATTTTTTTAATTAACAACATTTTTTATCAAATTTACACTAATAATTTTGAAACAAGCTAAAAGCTAATAAACTCCAATAATAAAAAAAAACAAAAAAAAACAATTAAAATTGATAAACTTATTGCTTGTCATGCGTATATCGCACATATTCATAATTAATTTTAATAATTAAAAAATAACAGGAGTATCAAGATATTATGGCACTGCCCATATTAACACTCTAAGGATTGTAGAGTAGTAGTCCGAATGAACATAAGCGCTAAAAAAGAATGTGGTATTCAAAATTCTTAATTCAATCTGTTATTTCAAAGAGCAGCAAAAAATAATTAAAGAATAATTCGCTTATTATTATTTATCCCAAGATGAATAATTTTTCCGAATTAATATCAAAATGTTTACCATCATTCTCGTAAACATCAAAATGTTTACAAAATGTTATATTTATAAAGAACAATACGTAACAGGCATAAATATTTAAATAGGCAAATAATAAAAAAATGAGAAACAATATTATGTCATTTTATATGCGGTAAACATATTGAAATAAGTAAACAAAAGTATTAACAGAATTACTAATTAACCAGTAAATTAACTGGTTAATTCGCTTCGTTAGTTATAATTTCAAATGTGGGAACGCTTTCGCTCACACCGCTTACAGCAATGCTAACTGCACTGCTAAGCTGGCTGGACTGTAACCTTAACAGAATTATGTTATGCCTGAAGCATCAAAAGACACGATTAGAGGAGATGAATTTATGAAGAACTGTTACTTATCAATTAGAATAAAAGCTAGAATATATTTTTTACTTGCGTATCTGTATTCTAACATAGTTGTGGTTGTGATTTTGGATGAAGTACCAAGTAATGAACCGCTTTTAGGAAACACATTTATATCAGTTTCTTATTAATGTACAATCTAGTGTGAAGCTATGTCAGTTAATTTGTTTAAAATTTTTCATTTAGTAATAATAATAGTGAAATTAATTACACAAAATCTTAGCTTATTAATGGGAAATAAATGCGTTAAAAGTGATGCATCAGAGCAGATAGTAAGTGCCACCGCAGCACTTTTTTAAAAATATCATTCAAACATTTAAAAATGAATAGCTGCGATAAAAGTAATTGAATGATTTTATTTATTATTTATTGTTTTCATTTCAGTAACAGTAGTTTTACTTTTTTCTAGTAAAGTATTTTGATTACTAATTTTACGTTATATGGTATCCTTACTTGTTGTTTGTACGAAATTCTATCACACAAAAATTTTTTTTTTTTTAATGCATTTTCGATGCAATTTCTCTTCTTCGATGTCGATGCGTTCAATTTGTTTTTGTAATGTTTCTTTTCTTGTTTTTTTCTTGTTTTTTTCTTGTTTTTTTGTTGTTTTTTTTTTTTGGATATTTATTAGTTTTGTTTTTCTGCAATAATTTTAATCAATTTTTAGTAGTAATTCATTTTATTCACAATTTATAAATATTATCAAATAAAATTGATTTCATAAATAAATTAAGACAATAAATATTTATTCATTTATAAAAATATTAATAAATAACTCATTGATTGAAATATTATAATTCAGTTATAATTATCGAGTAAACATGCGGCAATTTTCGACCGCACGGATCTCACTGATATTTATTTGAAAAGAAGAAACACAATCGAATCTAAGCGAGAAGAATATCGATAAATATAGTGGGGAATACAAATAATTTTCATCCACCAAGTTGGATAGAGTAAGGTTCATCAAATAGTTGATAGGGTTGAATAAATAAATAAATTAGAAGGCAATTAAAAAATTGTTTTTAAACAAAAATTTATAATATTCAAATACACTAAATAAAATTAATGTAAGTTAATTAACTTCCCAGAAGTTACATAGTCTTCAGTATTCGACTATACAACCTGTTTTGATAAAAAAAATTTGAGACCACATTAATATATGTATATTAGTTCAATTTATTTAATATGCGAAATATAAAATTTGTTTAAAATATTTGCATAATTACAGTACAACCTCAAATACTAGAATTATTATAATTTATTTATTTATTATATATAATTATATACTTATTATATTATTTCAAATATCGAAGCTCCTGTAATTTCGCAACCTCTTAAATCTTCTCTTTATTACTTTTAATATGACGACTTTTAAAATTGACTATCGTAAAGAATGCAAATTTTGAAAATTTTTCTCGTTTCGCTCTAATATTCAAATGAAACCCTATTGTGTGGATGAATTATACTATGGAAAATATATCTGTTCCTGACCAAGTTGACATTGATTCACACTTACAAACTGAGGTAAGTGCATGTAAAGGCTCGAAAAAAGTTTTGCATCTGTTAGCAAAATCTTGAATCTATTTTAATTAAAAAATAAGGCAGCAATGATAATCTTCCTTGCAAAAAAAAGCAAGTAGCAATAGTAAGATTTTATCATAGAGTATAGAGTAAGTAATAGAGTAAGTACAAAGCTTATATATTTTTTTTTAATTACATATTCATTATATACGTATTCTTTATTAAAGTTTTTATTAATTTCACCACCTTATTTCATTTTTAAATATTTGAATACAGTAAATAAAATAAACTCGATCAGTGCAACAGACTTGGCTTAAATTAGTTACTTTAATTTAATTTGTACTTTATTTAAAATTAATAAATAATTATTAATAATTTTTATTTGACCAAAATTTAATTTTACTTAAAAAAGTCCTTTGAAATTATTAAATTAATAACACAGTTTAATGTATTATAGCGGAATAAAAATCACAGAAGCTATATTATTATGCGGAAATTAATGTATTGTATTATCTTAATTTCTTAAGCCGAAAAACTTGAAACTTATTGTGGAAAAATTATTTTTTTTCTATATAATTTTCTAATGTCAATATTTTTGAATTCAATTCCAGCTTGCTGCGTTGAATGAATGTTGACGGCTATAATATAAACATAAAACAATATCTTACTTTTTCTTTAATTACACAGATTTATGTTTTTCGTCGCCTTTAAAATCTGAAGTAAAAAATTTTTGTAACAAAGCTGTAACGAATTTTTTTTTAAATACAAAGTAACTGGAATTTTAATTAAAATATTTCAATATTAATTTATATATAAAATTTTTGTTGAATTTATTGTTAAATATCACACAAGCATTTGCGAAATTATATGATGTGTAAGAAATATACAATGTACATGTGAGTATGTATGTTAGGAACATAAACACACTTAACATACAAGACATTCTGTTGGCTGCAGTGGGTTGTGCATTTGAACATAATGCTAATTCTTAAATGTTATGTTATTATGTTTCAAATAAAAACCAACATCGGCGCTGTAAGATTAATTCCAAATGTAATTATTTTTAAAAAATGTAACCCACACTTCAGGCCATATATTAACATATGTATATTTAAATCTTGGTTTCCTGCTGAATTTTCAGTTCTTATTTGCATAAGAAACTTAGGTTTTCATGGTACTTCAATATAACATACCATCGTATGAACCGCATGTATCATCTTGTCACGATGACGACATACGTAGTTGCTGGCGAACGCTATGGTCAGATAGATATTTGGTGACGATGCTATGTTACAACCATGAATTTATGAATTGTGTGAACGATTTTAAAACACCCAACAAGATTTTGTGGATGGAGTAAGCTGTGGTCCTACTTCTTGTAATCAATAAAATTATAATTAAAAACAAAAGAAAACTAAGCAGATGATATTTGCTAATGAAGGAATTATCATTAGATATATTTTAACAATATATCGAATATCATTTTTGAATTTTTTGAGAAACATAACACTGTAATATCACAATCGTGACTTTTTCTATCTACGAAACTCAAAAATATACTTTAAGAATAAGTATTTACAGTAATATGCAAGCAAGCTTAAGATCACACCTAAGAGGAGTTCTACCAGTGTCAAAGTGATAATTATAGTAACCTAACTGCATTTTATCAGAGGAGATTTTTCAGATGTTTTCAAAAAGATAAGATGAACATTGTGGGTTAAATAAAAACTTTTAAAATAAATAAAAATTCTCGTTATTTTTTGACTATGCTTCGTATGCTTAATTTCATGGGAAGAACTCAATCAATAATACTTCTATTGCTCCATAGCCTAAAATTCGCAATCATGGAACTTAAGATTCAAATTTTGTATGTATTTTGTTGAAAACAGCGCCCCTGAACACTGGATATTTTTAGGCAATAACACCAACATATTTGCCTTCATTAACTTTATACCCAATGAGTCTTAAATCATTATATGCACTTATAAGTATGTGTGCACTCATTTCATTCATTGTGCACAGTGAATGAAGAAATTTGTCTGCGATTATTCCTGATTATTTAAAATCGCTGTTTAGCGTCGCTTCAAAATTTTATTCATGAGTTCAAAATTTTAAATATTCAATATTGTATGGAAATCAGTATCTCATGCAGATTTTAGGCATTACAGAAAAGCACAATAACTGAATTCATTGGAAATTTTTTTGTTTTCATAAAAAATATTATATTCAAAACGTATTAATTATTGAAAAAAAAATAAAAACACTTAAATAATAAAAACATTTATAGACTCAAATTGACCACAAAAACGTTTTCAAATATCACATGGTAAAATTATAAACAAAATGAATCACAAAAATTGTTGCGACACCAATTAGCGCCTCCGCCAAAACGAGTCCGACGTGCAAAACTAAGTCAGACGCGCACCGAAAAGCAGAAAAAAGAGAAATTTCTTTGGCACTGTGGTGGAACAGTCGATCAACTCCAATTTGCAAGCGAAAATACGAGACGAGTTCTCCTCTAAGGTTTCGACTTCGGATTGGGTATTACGTATACGCCATGCTGGACTACGTTGGTTGGGGCGCGTTTTCTTAGAAATGTTTCCTTATTGCGAATGTGCAAATGTGAATCCCTCGAATGATGATTAATTGTTGCTCTACTCTTTCGCTTCTGGCTTTTTCGCTTACGTTCGTTGAAGACGCTAATTTCTGGTTTTTTTTATTATACATTAAGACCGAAAAGTTTTCGGAAATTCTCATTTAAAATTCGCGCGCTGTATATTTTTCGATATTTTAAGTTTATGTAGTTTGGCAGCAATTAAGGACAATTACTATGCCAAAAATGAGCGCGATCTGTCAGACAGTTCGTTTACGGCAGCTGTTGAAACCAGTTCACCTCAGTAGTGCGTTGCGAAAAAAACAATGGAAAAAAATATTGAACAAAGAGTTTGCATCAAATTTTGTGTTTCGAACGAAATTTCGTGTGCAGAATCGTTGCGAATGCTACAAAAGGCTTATGGGGAATCAGTTTTATCGAAAACTCAAGTTTATGAGTGGTACAAAGCCTTTCAGGACGGTCGTACGACCGTCGAAGACATTTCGCAACGCACTACTGAGGTGAACTGTTTTCAACAGCTGCCTTAAACGAACTGTCTGACAGATCGCGCTCATTTTTGGCATAGTAATTAAGGACAGTGCTGCCAAACTACATAAACTTAAAATATCGAAAAATATACAGCGCGCGAATTTTAAATGAGAATTTCCGAAAACTTTTCAGTCTTAATGTAGTTCACACTTCGCGAAATCCTTCAAAAAAATTCGGTGATTCAATTTTGGCACTCATAAAATTTGAAATTAGTCTACGTAAGACTTTGGATTATTTATCACTCTAATGCCGAATTTGTCTATATTTCAGAATGTAGAACTGCAAATGTTTCTTATTTCAAAACAATGTTATTTGCTCACTGTATTTCCTTATTGTGGTCCAACTTCGTCACTTTACCTACAGTCGCGTCTGAAGAACGCAATGTGAAGGCTAAAGTTTATCATATAAAAAGTACACATAACCTTATATATGAACTTTGTCCATAATTTCCCGCTGACAATATCATTGACAATATAAACAAAATCAATTTGGGGCGTAATTTAGTAACAGTTGTAACATAAAGACATCAATTCAATAAAGGAATTTTCAATTTATATATAATATTAAAGGGAAGATATATATAATCAGACTTTTAATTTGTTTACTAGTTCGATAGAATGCGGTACAAAGCTAACTACAAGTATAAGTAGGTCTTGTAGGTAATACTAATATTTAGTATCTACATATCTGTGCAGTAATAAGTATTACTACATAGATATGTATGCATGTACATGAAAAACTATTCCGCTTAATATATAAACGTATGTAATGTTTAGCATCTGTTCGTTAATTTGTCTATTAAAAATTATAAATAAAACGACGAAAAAAAAGCTGACAGAGGTATTGTTAAAAAAATAGTAAAAATTAAGTATAGTCAATTAAAAACGATATACGAGTATATACTGATAT